CATCCATTGTAAAATATATTAAGCAGTTCTTTTTTTTTCTACTGGTAGTATCTTATCCATTGAAAAAAGTAGTAAGGCAATGAAACACTGTAGATCGTGTTAAGTAGTATAGGTATATTGTATCAAATGTACACAATACACGATATATTGTTGTAGAAGTGTCGGTATACTGCTAGATACGGTATATTTATGAACACGATACACTAGATGTTGATGAAGTAGTGTCGGTATACGTTTATATACGGTGTATTATAATACATGTACACGTTGCGCGATACATGTATATTGTTGAAGTAGTGACGATATACTGATAGATAGAATATATTACATGTACACGATACACTAGATATTGATGAAGTAGGTCGGTATTCTAATAGATACGGTATATTGTATTACATGTACACGATATACGATATATTACTGAAGTATTGATATATACGGTATATTGTACTACATGTATAGGATACACGATATATTGTTGTAGAAGTGTCGGTATACTGATAGATACGGTAAATTGTATCACATGTACACGATACACGATCTATTATTGAAGTTGTGACGGTATACTGATATATACGGTATATTGTATAACATGCACACGATACACGATAGATGTTGTAGTGGTGTCGTTCATTCGATTTAAGCCTTTTGTAAAAATGATAAAAATCGAAAATACAAAGATACATGATATTTTTCGCATATGCTAATAGATACAAACTTAGTTGCATGACAATATTATCATCATAATTGTTAAAATAACTGTGCAATTTACCATTCACATTTTCGATAATTTTGTTTAAGATGTGTGCTTACCTGTATCAGATATTAAAAAAAATGTTCTTTATATTTCTTTCTACCTTTTATTTCCTAACGCCATTCTTGGCAACACGTCGCTTTTAGCTTTAATGTTGAACGTTTGCCCAGATGAGGAAGACAATGGATTATGTGTTCTGGTCGGGCCATACCAAAGTCTTTAAAATGGTAGTTGTTATTCCCTTCATAATGTTCCATATTTAGGGTAATGACAACAACTGGTGCACCCGTTGTCAGTATAATGCGTACAAGCGGAATACTGTGCTGGGTGCCTTCGGCATGGTATTTCATTGAGATAGCACTATAAAGTCGACATCAGATCCGTGATTTCACATGGAGGCAAATACTCTAGCATACCACGTCTCCAACACACATTCACGCATACACAACACAAATGGAAGCACGTCCTTAAAGACCTTAGCTATTGATTCAATCGTATTACAAAAATGATATGAGGTATGGTCTATGTATGTATTTAGACCAATGAATCAGCACATTTGCAATTACTTATAAAAATAGTACATCTCACTGAACTGATCTTATATATATGAATATTTGCAAAATGAAATTGTACTTTTTCTAGACTTTGAGTGGTGTTTGTACCAGTTCTACAGTGACCCGAGATCGTGGTCAGATGCAAGAGCGATTTGTGAACAAAATAACAAGACGTTGGCCCATATTACTGATCTGTCGCAGCATGTCTACCTGACGTCACTAATCCAAACCAGTTTACCTGCATTCTACTTTAACCCGCCCAGGTATGTATTTACAAACTCAGTGTCTGCCAGAGACCGGGATATATTTTGGTTTTGCCGTTTGTAACCGGCATTAGATGGTATGTTCTCTGCGTCAAACATGTATTCTTCGGAGCTCATTTTTTCAGGTTGAGAAGGAATATAGGAGGGCATGGATTCCTGATGTCTTTCATATCATTGGTGTTTCCTCGGTTGCTATTGACTTTGCGTGTCGCCTTTGAGTAATAACGTGTGTTGTTGCATGTTTTCTTAGCACCACAATGTGGATAGGATTGTACAAGACAAATGGGGGACAACCTGTATGGCAAGATGACTGCGCCACTCTAAGCGCAAACTATACTCCTGTTACTGCAACGTTGAACGACTCCACCGACATATGTTACATGCTAGACGGACAGGGAAGCACCTATCAAGGACACGCCTGTGAGCAGTCTCAACCGTTCCTATGTCAGGCAGCAACGTTAGGTAAGAACACTCCACGTTTAACTTTTTATCATAATACCATTTTGTGTATGCCGTAATACAGGTATTTCTATCGACCAAGCTGGTCAGGCTTTTGTTTGGTTTGTTTGTGTTTTACGTCCTATTGATAGATAAAAAAAAATCAAGACGTGCCAGGATTTGGTGATGGAGGAAAACCAGAGGGCCAGGGAAAACCACGGACACGCGGCCAGTCCTCACTAAACACTTATCCAGGAAATCACTAATTCGGCAGTCAATATCATTCCCCAAAAATGTATATATTATGCAATGCTTAAAGTTCACCTTAATGTCATTGGATCTATAAATAAAAGGACTATTATATCTCTATTTCATATACTAGCAAGTGTATTTTTGCTGTACAAGTTTTAAATGTTCCAAAGTTTAAAAACAATATACAATAAAGGGGAAATTTTAGCATACTGGTATATTTTTGCTAATAACAGAAAATAAATAATAAATGGTGGAGAAAGACTCACTCAAAGCTACATTTTTTCGGCTTTTGTAAGAAGGAAAATACAGGGGAATACTTTTGATCCGATGAATAAAAAAATGTCTAATTACAGACCGTTTTATATTACATATTAAATCATCGAAAAAATGAGTACTTTTCATTTAAAAGTAAAGGGGAGTGGACACATAAATTTCTTTTCTAAGCTAAATATATAAGTTTAAGAAATTCCACTTACATTGATAAGAAGAAAATACAATTTTGTTCAATTGTGAACACATTCATAGATTCCTGATAACACACTTGGAAGATATTGTATAAATTTGTTTTGTATATTGTCAACAAAGAAAGCAAATCACTAGAAATCACTTAAATTGGTTTATTTGCCAAAATATAGCACAGATACAAAGACAAATACAAGGTCATACATATAAGATTTATTGAACAAACCCCAAGAAATAGTAAAATTCAATCTAAAAACCTAACAAGATTGCTTGGTTCTTCAATTATTAGTAGGACAGGAGACAACTGCACTGATTCAAAATGCATTACACCACAGTGTGGAACGTGTAGCATAATTAATGAAGGATCTCGAATCAGAGTTAAAAATGGTTTTAAATGAACTTTAAAATGCAGTATGAACTCTAAATCAAATATTGTTGTATATACAATAGTCTGTTCAAAACGTTCAGATGTTTATATCGGCCAGACAGGATAGGTTATGAATTTCGTAAAATGATGACGTTACACAGACAACAAACAAGGAAATGTGATCATAGAATTTTAAAAGTAAACAAGCATTTTCATTCCTGTTCATAAAACACCTGATGACGCGATTGTAAGAGAAGTTTAGGAATCAATGTTTACAAAGTTGTTACAACCATCTTTCGATAGTTCCTATTAATCCAAAATGTTTGTTTCAATTTGTATGTCTTCTGATAATTTTTATATGGTGGCGCCGCCGATGACATGCATTCGGGGGTATTCGGGTATTTCTGGTAACGTAGATTTGGGAACGTATCCCAGTTGGGTCTAAAATGTGCCGAATCAGGCCAGTTGCCAGTAGTTCCACCATTTACTTTTATTTATGAGTGATGTGGCGATTGAATTGGTCCGGGGATACTTTAGTTGCTACATGTATGCATGAATATACATGTTCTGGGAAAGGTAACTAGTAATAAGCGGAAAATCACGAAAGACTTTCGATTGATTGTTGTTGGTTACGTTTAAACGGTGTGGGTTATATACATAATATACGTCCGCTATATGGTACGTTGATTGATTGTACCTTCAAATGAGGATTGACCTACATTTAGACGTATACAGTAGTATGAACAAAGATGGCAACGGACCTATTCTATGATGACTGCAATGAAGTGTTAAAATGCTACATACGACGAACAAATAGTAGAAGTGGTTTTGCTACGATGGTTACTACGGAAGCCGCGGTTGCTTGGGTAATATAGTTCCCGATAATCTTCATCGATTAATGAGTTTATTAAGAAAATACACACAGTACAACACTGTAGCCCTTCGACCAAGTCTATTCATTTATAACGGACATTACATTGATATACTGCTATGTTAGTGAGGCTGTCAAGTGTTCCAGAAAGAAGCTGCCATTGTTTACTTTACCGTCGAAGATATTTGAGTGTGCATCTATATAATGAGACCTTTTTCAGTATCCGTTGTCGTATACTTAGACATAACGGATCCCGCTTATGTTCGACGTACATGTAACTAGATCTTGAAGAAATCAAGCAATAGCTGTAATCGGACTGTTATCTCGCTGACGCGTGAACGCCGCTATATTTGAAACTAGTATAAATCCGCCGAAGCTTCTTTGATTGCGTAAACGCTAATGTATACGCAATAAGAGTTTACTTAGTTAAGAAGGGAGATACGTAAATATAAAAGCATTCTCTTGAAGAGCTGTGTAGCAGAGAAAGGCCTCGAGGATTGGTCTTCTTCTGATTAAAAAATGTGTTTCGTTTTCCTGTAACTTTGACTTCAATCCACTTTTTGTATATTTTCCTTCGCAAGAACTCGTTTATTTATTACCTCCTGTACATACACACACACATACACACAAATATGTATATATATATATACATAAACCTTTTATCCATGTTCTACTTTGTCATTGACTCCTGTTTCCAAAACTACATATAAACAAAAATATTATAGAAAATGTCAACCTCTCCGAGGAGGACATAATCAAAATTCGCTTGGTACAATGCATGTATTATTATCGGTGACCGCTATATACAGTGTAGCGACCAACTATACGGTTACCATACAAGTATAACAGTAACGTTGAACACATATTTAATCAGTGTCATTACACTGTTAAAAAGTTATCATTTTTTCCAACTTACAGATATCAGCACATGCTATGAAAGGGTTTCAACACTTTACGGTTCGCTTGAAAACAAAAATCATACTCGCCCATTGAGTGGATGTTTCATTTTACTTGGAATTCAAAGAAACGTTGTGGGATTCCGGTACTATGACAGTTATTGTAGATTGGTGACTTATGAAGCAACCAAAACTTACGCAAATGGCTTTTATAAATATGCAAAAGGTAAGTACGGAACAATGCATTAATTACAGTATACACTATTTTACAAGTAACCATTTTTAAATATTGTTTGCTCAGCTATTTCCGACAAAATCTCAGATAGTTGTTTTCCCTTTTACTCATCAAGTCAAGTCTCACCGTTTCCAACAACATAGTGAATATAATATTTATAATGATACCTGATCCACTGCAGGAAAAATAATAGAGGATCCCGCTGTAGTTTATCGTAAATACTGTGGCATCCCCCTTAATTTTGGATGGACGTATATATGTTGTGCAATTAGGCTACTGTTGGACAGGTACTTCATTTGTTTAGAGCGACAGATAACCAATCTCATGCCAAGGATTCACATCCTAGCCTAGTCCCGCTGCAAATTTAAGCAATGAGCACTGTCGTTGATTAAATTCTGTTCATAAATGTATCATCATAATTGTTGTCCTTTTTTAGAAAAGTACCGCGAAGTATGGTGTTCTTGTCATTACTGATTTAACAAATCTATAATCATGACAAAAATAATTGTTTCTAGTGCATAATACCAGTTTTAAGCAGCGTTACGTTTATCCTTATATTATCGTGCTTTCCTTGTTTCGGATATCGACGTCTTAAACATTTTACTTTCTCCTTGGTCGTTATTGCTCTGTCATTCGAATTTTGACCACATATTTAGAGTTGTAATGTATTCTTTCGACTTTTTTTTACACGATTTACGGGATTGTCTTAAGCACAATTACACTGCACTCTACTGTACTTTTTACAGTGTTATGTCCGTTTTACAAATACAATACAGTTAAACTTCGATGTTTCGAACGTTACGGGTCCATCGGGGAAAAATCGAAACATCGAGACTTCGACTTAAGAATTTCTAGGATATTCTGTATATGCTGCAAAAGACCGAACGTAAAGACACAAAAATTAAGCAAGATATTAAATTTGAAATATATAGGAATTAGATTTAATGTATCAAGACAAATATGTCTATGTATTTATGCACGGTAGTTTGCATGTTTAGATGTTAAAATGACCCAGGAACATCCCAATGTTCTCGTACAGTTACATATAGTTTTACTGCAAATTATTAGTTGTAATTTTCAACGTTTACCTAACGATTGGCCATGCGTTCGAAACAGCGAAACAGTCGACTCTTAAAAGTTCGATTCATAAATATTAATAGTATATACGGAATTTGGTAATACTTAGTGAATAAAGTATCGTTGTAGCTTACATAAACACGAATTTCAATATTGTTTATACCATTCCATTTACCAACTGTATATGTGGTAATGTTTGAATGCTTCTAATGGTTGTTTCATTGTATTGTCTTTTAGCCATGATAAAGACAGAAGTGGTAACACTCACAGAACCTGTGAGTTATATAACCAGTGTATGCCAAAGTGTGTACTCCACTAGTCCAGTGGAACTACCAACGATAGAAACGACACTGGCTCCAGATTCGGTTCCTACTTACACGTGGCTGGCGACATCCCACACGTACTCTGGTGTATCAGTTACAGGAACAGTATCGATTGTAACTATTACAGGTAAGTACATTTATAACTAAAATCACGTCAATATCAATCGTCAGGTCCAGTGATATAGTCAGAAGACAAGTTAAATTCACCAATCACGTTTGCTGAATCATGTAGTGTCCCTGTCCGCTACCAGGTTTAGTGAGTTAGGTAGTATGCGTAAGGTCCAGTTCCGGTAGCTGTCAGATGTAGTGAGACAGGTAGTATGCCTAAGGACCAGTCTCGGTCGGCTGTCAAGTCTTATGAGTAACAAGAAGTGTGCCTTCAGTCAAGTCATGTAAGTAGGCAGGTAAAGTGAGTAAGGTAGTATATCTAAGGTCACGTTCCGTTATGTGTACGTAACGATTGGATCATGAGTTCGAAACAGCGAAGCAGTCGACTCTTAAAAGTTCGATTCATAAATTGAATATTAATAGTATAATGAAAGGGAAAAACTCTGGTTTTCGCTGAAATTTCGTCACATAGAAAAATTCGAATCTTTGAAGTGTGATTCATGGAAGTTTTGACTGTAACTAAATTCATAGTCGGAATTTGGTAATGCTTAGTGAATAAATTATCACTTTACACAGTTGTTGTAGCTTACATAAACACGAATTTCAATATTGTTTATTTGGTAATGTTTATATGCTTCTAACTGTTGTTGCCTTGTATGATCTTTTAGCCTTGCTAAAGAGAGAAGTGGTAACACTCATAGAACCTGTGAGTTATATAACCAGTGAATACCAAAGTGTGTACTCCACTAGTCCAGTGGAACTACCAACGATAGAAACGACACTGGCTCCAGATTCGGTTCCTACTCACACGTGGCTGGCGACATCCCACACGTACTCAAGTGTATCAGTTACAGGAACAGTTTCGATTGTAACTACTACAGGTGAGTACATTTATAACTAAAATCACGTCAATATAAATCGTCAGATCCGGTGATATAGTAAGAAGACCAGTTCAATTCACCAATCAATATTGCTAAATCATGTAGTGTCCCTGTCCGCTACCAGGTTTAGTGAGTTAGGTAGTATGCGTAAGGTCCAGTTCCGGTAGCTGTCAGATGTAGTGAGATAGGAAGTATGCCTAGGGTCCGGTCTCTGTCAGTTGTCAGACGTAGTGAGATAGGTAGTATTCCTAAGGTCCAGTTCATATCGGCTGTCAAGTTTTATGAGTAACCAGAAGTGTGCCTTAAGTCAAGTCCTGTTAGCCGGCAGGTGAAGTGAGTAAGGTAGTATACCTCAGGTCAAGTTCCCGTCAGCTGTCAGGTCTAGTAAGTTTGGTAGTATGCCTAAGGTCCAGTCCCTGTCGGCTGTTAAGTCTAATGAGTAACACGAAGTATGCAATAAGTCAAGTCATGAAAGCCGTCAGTGAGTTAAATAACAGTTGTCAGGTTTAGTGAGTTAGATAGTATGCCTAAGGTCCAGTCACTATCATCTTCCATGTTTAGTTGGTTAGGTAATATTCCTAAGATCCAGTCCATGTTAGCTGTAATGTTTAGTAAGGTTGGTAGTATGCCTAAGTTCCTGTCACTATCAACTGTCATGATTAGTGAGTTAGGTAATATTCTTAAAATCCAGTCCCTGTTAGCTGTCTGGTCTAGATAGCTAGGTAGTATGCCTAAGGTCCAGTCCCTGTCAGCTGCCAGGTTAAGTGAGTTAGGTAGTATACCTAAGATCCATTCCCTGTTAGCTGTCAGGTCTAGAGAGTTAGATAATATGCCTAAGGTCCAGTCCCTATCAGCTGTAAGGTTAAGTGAGTTGGTTAGTATGCCTAAGGTCCTATCATTGTGAGCTGTAAGGTTTAGTGAGTTAGGTAGAATGCCTAAAGTCCTGTCCCTATTAGATATCAGATGTAGTGAATTAAATAGTATGTCTTACCAGTACCGACTACGTCCAGGGTCTCATCAGGCATTTGTTACTTCAAATATACTTATGCCATTGTCGTACACGATGTGTTCTCCTGGAACAAGAATTACATCATTGTAGCATTTAGAAGTGATACGGTGCCTAAGATTTTTGCGCACTACCTTTTTAGGTCACCTAAGACAAAGTCTCAAGTGACCTATTGCGATCGCCTTTTGTCCGGCTTAGTGCGTCGTGCGCCATGCGTCGTGCGTCGTGCGTCCGTATACAATTTACATTTTCGACTTCTTCTCCAAAACCCCTGAACCAATTTCAATTAAATTTAGCAGAAACCTTCCATGGCCAAAGGTCAACCAAAATTGTGGGGTCTGAGCGGCGGGGCCAAAAATGGTCAAAATGACTAACATTTCAATATCAAGATATATATGGTAGAATTAAATAATCATCAAAGATGGAAAGGTCTTAAGGTGTTTTACCAAAATTGTGAAATTCATGACCCTGGGGTCTTACGTCTTCCCCTATAGTTTATATAGGGAAATCACATTTTGGACCAACATTTGTTTAATTTCCATTGGAAGCATTATCAGTATTGGAAAGCAGTTTGATAGTATGCACATATCAGCCCTGACTGACCCCCAGGGGCTGATGTTTTGGGCCAAAAAGGGTTGAATTGACTGAAATTTCAAAAATCTTCTTCTCCAGACCCAGACATGGTAGGATCAAATAATATTTTTAGATGGAAGGGTCTTAAGGTGCTTAAAAAAATGTGAATTTCATGACCCTGGGGTCTCACGTTTTCCCTTGGGGAGGGGGTAAACTTTACTTTAGTTTATATAGGGAAATCACATTTTGGACCAATATTTGTTTAATTTCCATTGGAAGAAATTCAATTTGCGTAAGCACTAACAGTATTGGATAACAGTTTGATGGTATGCACATATCAGCCCTGACTGACTCCCAGGGGCTATGGGTGGGGCCAAAAAGGGTCGAATTGATTGATATTTCAAAAATCTTCTTCTCATGACCCAGCTATGAGAGAATCAAATACTCTCCATAGATGGAGGGATCTTAGAGAGCTTTACCAAATTCGTGAATTTCATGACCCTAGGTTCTCACGTTTCCCCTTGGGGTGGGGGTAAACTTTACCATAGGTTATATAGGGAAATCACATTTTTGAACAACATTTGTTTAATTTCCATTGGATGTAATTAAATTTCGGTTAACACTAACAGTATTGGATAGCATTTTGATGACATGCACATATTAGCCCTCAAAATGGGTGGGGCCAAAAAGGGTCGAATTGACTAAAATCTTCTTCTCCAGACCCAGATATGGTAGAATAAAATACTCTTCAAAGATGGAAGGGTCTTAAGGTGCTTACCAATATTGTGAATTTCATGTCTCTGGGGTCTCATGTTTCCCCCTAGGGAGGGGGGTAAACTTTAATATAGTTTGTATAGAGAAATCACATTTTGACTAACATTTGTTGAATTTCCATTGGAAGAAATTCAATTTGCGTAAGCACTAACAGTATTGGAAAACAGTTTGATGTTATGCACATGTCAGCTCTGACTAACTCCCAGGGGCTTATAGGTCGGGCCAAAAAAGGTCGAATTGACTGATATTTCAAAAATCTTCTTCTCAAGACCCAGATATGATATAATCAAATTCTCTTCATAGATGGAAGGGTCTTAAGGTGCTTTACCAAATTCGTGAATTTCATGACCCTGGGGTCTCAAGTTTCTCCCTGGGGAGGGGGTAAACTTTACTATAGTTTATATAGGGATATCACATTTTGGACCAGCATTTGTTTAAATTCCATTGAAAGTAAATCAATTTGGGTTAGCGTTATCAATATTGGATAGCAGTTTGATGGTATGTACATATCAGCCCTGACTGACCCCAATGGGCTGATGGATGGGGCAAAAACTGGTCAAACTGACTGCAATTTCAAAACCTTCTTCTCAAGACACATATAAGGTAGAAGCAGATGCTCCTCATAGATGGAAGGGTTTCAAGTTGCTCTACCAAAAGTGTGAATTGTAAGACCCTAGGGTCTTACGTTTACCCCTTGGAGCAAAATGTATTATGGTTTATATTGGCAAATGATATTTTGGATATAACATGTTGATAACTTGATTGAAATTATAACCCTGAGTTGACAGTTTGATACCTTGAAAAGTTTGAGCCATCCCTAACCCCAAGGGCTGTAGGGCGAGGCCCAAAGGAGTCAGTGTGCTAAAATGTCTTCATTTCTCTTGTTTATAATCAGAGGTGCTAGTTTCAAATACTTTTCAGTCTTTGATCTGTATGCTAGATATTGAATAAGGTGGTTTTATTGTTTTTGTCTCTTTGAATAATATTTCTGTACATGTTTTGAAAACAAAAATCAACTTTCTCTATAAATATATCAGAACTCAGGAGACCGTTAAGGCCCATGTGCCTCTTTTTTTGCATTAACAGTTGTGAGACAAATTTTTAGTCTTTTGACCACTTACATCACTGATGCGTCCCAGGAGGACGAACCAGTTGTATGGCGCAGTCAAATTTATCTTTTGGATACTGAATCCAGTAAAAGTGTTAATGGTGCAACCACATGTGTGTGCTATTCGTTCAACCTATCATAACATCCCGATCAACTGGAAATCCACAGTTATGCCGATCATAAAGACAAATTCAAGGTCCTAAAGGAGGCTGGTCAACCTTTAAGAGATAACAACTCCTTGTGGAAGTCCACAATAGTTGGTTTTGAATGAAGAATCGGAGCTGACTTGGGCGATACGGACATCCTCATATTTTCGCTATTGTGTGAAGAGATGAAACATCTCCTTTTGCCTTAATAGGAGATTGATATAAATAGTTTTCATACAATGTTTTTATGTCTCTGGTGACTTTCCTCTTATTGTTGTTCTTCCTACTAACATGATTATATATTAATATTGTCTTTCACCATTTTGAAAACAGAAATGATATCAATAATCCTATTATTTGAGGAGAAGCTACTGTTTTCTAGTGCAGACATTTGAAGTCATTGTACCGAAACTGTGATATTTCACATGTCATTTAGTTTTAGGAGCCGCATTGCAGAACATTTCTGACAATATTAAGCATATGGAGCCAACTAATATGACTCAGCTGACAATGTTCTGCAAACAACTACTTGAATACGTTTTGGACCATCCCGACCATGTGTGCTCAGATCTCGTAAGATTTTATATTCTGTTTTGAAAGATTGTAAGGTGTTTTTTTACAAGGTTATTAGCCGTTTAAACTTTCAAAAATTCACCCTGTGTTTATTCTGTACTGTTTTACTATCTCATCTAGGATATTTTTTAGTATAACTATAAGATGCATGCTAATTGACACCGCAATAAGAGTCCTACTTAAATTTTCCAGTATGAAAAAGGCAATACTTGTATGAGGTTAAAAATCTCCCGTTTTATAGTATGTATACAAAATTGCCAAAGAGTACAATACATTTTACAGTATTTTACAATATTTTATTTGACCTTGATATATAAAACACTATTGGATGAAACAGTGTTTGAGTGTGTATTTTATTGTATTTTCATTCATATTTAGATAGTACGTTAATAATAATTGCCGGCCGAGAGGCACAGTGGTAAGCTCGCGCGCCTTTCATCAAGATGGCCGGTATTCGATATCCTGATCGGAGGTGAAAAGTTAGGGGGTAATTTGCCCGACCACGTGTTTTTTTCTCCGGGGAACTCCAGTTCCTCCATCATCATTACACACCACGTGCTAACATACGGGCCAACTAGCTAGAGTGATTAATATAAGTTGATTAAACTTGTTTCATAATTGCTGGAAATTATTTAAATGTAAAGTTCATAGCTGTAACAATTTATTGAGAGCTTTGTTTAAACCAGTAAGATTCCCAAAATGCAGAGATCGAGTATAGACAGGCTGATATTTTGTTTGTGTTGGTATCAAAATGTAAAGAAATTGTTTTAAATAACAAATTTTTGTTGTATCCTTGTGAACAATGTGTGTTTTATTAATGATGCTTGCACTAACCCAGAAAGGAAAGAACCATACCATGTCATGGTAGTTAGTGTCTCTAATTCTTCATTTCATCAGTACATTTAACTCGTTTTTTGGTCGATCATAATTGCAGACATGCTTGTTAAGTATGCTTAAAAAACAGAAAATCCATGGATGATCTTAAATAAATTAACGAACAAAGTATGAATTTAACAAAAACAACATGCCACAAGGATGTCTTTAACAAGATTGTTCGGAACTATATTGCCTATCGTACGTCCAATCTGCACTAAACAAACTGTTTGAAAAAACTATTTTAGATTTCACCTCTGACTTTGAAATTGGGATTACAGTTAAGCAAATTAAGTGATATTGTAAACAAACATCAGTGTGACTTAATATTGTTTCGCTGTCTTAACAGAACAGTTTGCAGTGATATTAAATATAATTATGATTCTGACGTTAGCTGTTAATAGGACGTTAAACAAAATTAAACCAAACCAAAACTAAAATAAAAACATTATAATTTATTTGATTCTGAAATTAGGCATATTCTATGTTATCGAATTTATTAATGCGTTCACGTACTTTCGTAAAAGGATGACTTTTGAATTATTTAAAAGATTCGTGCTGCATTCATTTTCAATGTCTATAATAAGCATGATAGAAAACAAACTTTCTTTTAAAGAGGTTGTGTACAGAAGTGAGCACAATGCCTTCAACACAAATGTTACATGATCCTTTATTTGGCACAGACTACGAATACATAAGTACACTTTGTCTAATACACTATGCTAGATTTCAAAGTAAAATACATTTTTATCTACTATTACTACTAAGCAATGGATTGAAATCGATACTTTAACGATATCCCCCCAAAATAGCAAACATCATTGTAGCGTTTTACAACAATTATGAAAAAGGTTATTTCATCTTATATTAATCACTTGTGTTGGCCCGGATGTTAGACTGAAAGGGTCTTAAAGTTGGAGGAAACCAGAGTACATGGATAAAACCCATGTGGTCAGACAGGTGACCCAATACCATTGCACGTCCGATCAGGTAATCGAACCCCGTTCGTTTTGGCAAAAGTTAAGTGCTAGCGCTATTTGCACCACCCGACCACCTTTAATAATATAATCTTCATTTTTAAACATAGAAAGGGATAGTAAAGATTGAAAATCAAATAACAAGAAAGATTGAGTCATTACCAGCTGGTGACCTCGATTTGAACACAGCGGTTTCATGTAAGTATGAAGGCTAAACACGTGTAATATGAAAGCATGGTGGATAACTTATATAATTATTGCATGGATGCAGTACGCGTTTTTAAAACTGCAAAGAAGGAAGCTATACACGTATTTGTTGTGTCCATTGATATTGGGGCTTAGTGAATGTTTTTGAGCGGTTCGGAGTCGAGACAAGGATCATTTGCACACTTTGTTTGACGAAGGAACCAGACGTTTCAATAAATATTTATGTTCAAGACTAAATGAACAGTTCATATTGGTAGTAGGTTTGAGGTAGAGCCAGTATTTAGTGATAGTATGACGTAGTACTTGTATTGATTGTAGAAAAATGACACCAAAAGTGTTGATTGTAAATATGGGGACATAAAGAGTGTCGGTTTTAAACTGATGGTAAAAAGGGACATATGTCAAATTTCTAGATAACGTATCCTTAAACTAAGACCTTGTATGGAAAGATTAGACAAAGGCACGGAATAGTAAAAAAAAAAAACTAAAATTGAACGATTCATGAAACACCTTCACGGCAGGTTTGTACAACTGTTATTATGTTCTTGTAAAATTTGCCTGTGACAAGATAGTCAGTCAGTCAAACGAAATTTTAACGCGTTTGTAAATGTAACGTCATAATGTCATCATCTGAGTGTGACGTCATACAAATCCAGGTCACTGAGTGCAACCTAGTGGTATAAACCCCTCATGGGTGTTCCACATGAGACACACACACGCAACGTCGGTATTTGTTGGTCTCTTCAACTGAGGGTTATATCATTTTTATGTTGTACCAATCTTTAAAGCGTCATACATTGTGTTCATCGCACGTTTGATTTGGAGCCAGTAACTAAAAAGGATTGTAGAAAGGTAGTTTGTGGTTTCGATTTTCGTACATATTTTTTTTTATGTAATGTTTGCTTTATTGGTTCGTAAAATAAATAAACATGTTGTTTTTGTCCTGATTTGCTCTTTTCAGTGTATCTTTCCATCTTGAACCACGTGTACAGTTTCCAAATGAACATCGACTGTCGACAACATAACCAAACGGTAGGCATTAAGATACATATAAAATAGATATTAATCGACAAATGGATTATCATACTAATGCCATGAATGTATGGTGTGGAAAAAGATATACACCAGTGCGTTAAGCGCAGGGGTGGATGTGTAGTTTCGAGAAAAACATGTATCATATGTGCAACGATGGATTACGAAACATATTGTGATATTGTGTCATTTGTCAACACCAAAAATCTATTAAATTTCGCTTTTTCACATTTGACAGTTAAGTTTATTATGTTGTTTACTAATTTCCACTTGAATCATAAACTCTCCCTCGTTAAGGAGGGCGAAGAGGGAGAAAATTAAACTGCAACGAAAACGTTCAGGTACACAGTACTTCTATGACACACTTAAAATGTTGTCAGTTTTAGGAAGGCATGGTATACTTTTTACAAACAAAGGATTATATGTAAACATATTTGGTGTTAAATACAGTGAAACCTCGATATACTGTCCCTCGTTTTAATTTGCCATCTCGTTAACCGCCAAAATGTTTAATGTCCCATTTCCTGTTTCCTTATTAATTCCTGCATACATTTTCGTTAACTAATTGCTAAACCCGTTTAAAACACCACCATATCTCTTGACAAATGGTGAAATTATAACGAGGATTTAGTGAATATCAAAATAAAGGTAATTGAATGTTCCCTTTAATGACGATAGACCTTTTGTTTCAAATTGATCAAATAACAAATAGACAATACTTTTTTTCTTTGTATGTGTTAATTAATTGATGAAGCTTGAGCAAAAATACACATTCATAGTAACGCATTTTAATTAAACGGGTATAATGGCATAAACATACAATAAACGTTGATTGTCAATGATGATATCGCATTGTCTTTAAATGAAAACAAGATGTAATAAATCAATTATGGTGTTACACAGCTATCACACTCTGCCTCCGGCCCACATACACACATGCACGCATACACAACATACATGGAGGCACGTCCTTAGATGTCCTAAGTTGTTAGTAGGAGGCTAAACCCTATCAATTATGGTGTTACAGAGCTACAGTGTATCATACTTTGTCTCCGGCCCATATACACACATGCGCGTATACACAACATCTTTTGAGGCACGTCCTTAGATGTCCTAAGTTGTTAGTAGGAGGCTAAACCCTATAAATTATGGTGTTACAGAGCTACAGTGTATCATACTTTGTCTCCGGCCCATATACACACATGCGCGTATACACAACATACTTTGAGGCACGTCCTTGGATGTCCTAAGTTGTTAGTAGGAGGCTAAACCTTTTAAATAAAACAAATAAAACCTATCATACTACATAAATTACATGCCATGCGGAAAATAAACAAAATGTCGAGTTCATCAACGAGACACCAACATGACATTTTGTTACTATAAAGACACTTTAAAATGAGTATTGTAATTACTAGACTATATATGTATATATATTTATGTTCTAGCCCGAGTTACTGGACCTTCAGGATAATCTTATCAGATTGTCAAAACTTAATCTGAAACTGCAGAATGTCAGTAAAACGTTTGAACTCAACATGACATCCATGTCAATAACGGTAGGAGATGGAGGAACGTTACAAAAAGAGTATACAACAGCATATGGCAGGGTCATACTAGAAAACCTCGAGATCTTGAGACAGAACCTTGCCAGTCAGAAACTGATGATTATGGTAGGTAGCAATGGAGAGTTGATGTAGAGGCAGAGTTGAAATTGATTATTGTAGTAAATTGATCTTTTTCAGTGCAATGAATATTATATATTGTATATTTATCATTTATACGACGGACTTGCAAGAACACAGGACGAAGAGATACATAGTAAATATTTGTGATAGTGCACCGGTTTTATAGTGTAACTAAAATAGAAAGACAACGTATTTGAACATTCAATGATCAATTTCGAAAATAGTTGTTGACATATATTCATGTGATGATTTCTAAAATCCATGAATACTACAAAACTGCATTTGTTTACATGATTTAGGTTAATCTATACTTTTAAGTTCTTTAAAATTGTTTTCTAATGCTTATCGTGGAAGCATGACTATGGCATACATTTAACATATCTAGGACGGTTATATAAGAAGTTGTCATTGTAGAGGATGGTGACAAGCGTTCCAGGCAGACTATAAGGACAATATGTGCCCTTTTCTAGCCGACGAATTCTTGTTTTATATTTAATACAATAATTTTGACTGGTTGCTAAGGCTTTCCCTGGTGTTTTGTTTCACTTTCAGGTACATCGACAAAATGAAAATGCGGGTTTACGGTTCTCTTTGTGATGCCATTTCTCATAAACCAAATGTCTCATGAATTAGAATTTTCATAATTGTGTACTTCATTTACTCCAGGTTACGAATATAACAACTAATTGTATATCCCAGATTGGGCCAGGAATGACCCTTGGCGTCAATACCTTTATAGACCACATTAAACCTCTATACCCTCTTAATCGATAAAATGGCAACATGGCAAAAAAAACCATTAAGCTGTCACCATCATTTGTTAGTTCTTTGTGTAAGTTTTTAAGTCACCCACAGCTTTCCGGGGGGGGGGACGTATAGGTTTGCGCTCCGTACGTACATCCTTCACTCTGTCCTTCCGTGATAGAAGATTGTCCGGGATATGTATTCTATTCTATTTCACCTGAAGTAACCAGATTTGGTGTACAAGGACATCTTGAGATGGCGGAGTGCAGAGTGCAAGAAGCAGCTCACTATGACCCTACTGTGAATTATGCTTTGATCTTTGACCTTTACTTTTGAAAATATTTGACCGGGATATATCTTATATTATATTTCACCTGGAGTAACCAGATTTGGTGTACAATGACATCTTTGGATGGTAGAGTGCAGAGTGCAAGAAGCAGGTCATTATGGCCTGACTGTGACCTATGCATTGACCTTTGACCATAACTTTTGAAAATGTTTCTCCGGAGCATATCTTCTATTCTTTTTCACCTTAAATATCCTGATTTGGTTTACAAAGACATTTTTGGATGACGGAGTACAGAGTGCAAGAATTAGGAGGTACCCGTAACCTATGACTTGACCTTTGACTTTTACTTTTGAAAGCAAAATTATCCTGGCTATATGTGCTATACTATTTCACCTGGAGTAACTCGATTTGGTTGACAAGGAAGTCTTTGGAAGGCGGAGTGCAATAAGTATGTTTCATGATACTTTCCTAACAGTAGGTACATCCTGATATAAGTGTACTGTTTGTTAAATATAGAAATAATTTCCGTTGGGGACAATGGATTGCCTTGCCATACTTTGCCTTGTTTAATATGCTGTGGTGGGTGCCCTCGTCATGGTATTTTAGTGAGATAGCACTATTTAGTTGGCATCAGATCCGTGCTATCACAAAAAGGTAATCACTCCAACATACCCTGTCTCCGGCATACACATATACATGGAGGCACGTCCTTAAATGACCTGAACTGTTGATAAGACGTTAAAGCTGTACAAAAAAAAAAAAAAACCTTGATTACCTTATACATATAATTTATTACAGGTTATATCGTACAAAGAAAATCTGTTCTGCCGCTCACAAACTTCTGGTCACATCAATATCTCCGTCATTACAACACTTGCTTTCGACGATGACGGAAGAAAACTGTCAGATGTTAACTTCTTAATGGGGTTTCCTGTTTCATCTAATCTCGACGCTGCCGACAGCTCTTTAAACATGACATTCAACGGGACACACTATATGGCAGCTTTTCCCGGTGGGTTTTTCAACAGTGCTTCTGCTTTGGTGTCTGCCGACATCTCGATGATGAAATCCTGTGAGATCTATGGCAAATATGGAACTACGTCACCGACTTATAAAGACTTTGATTTCTATCTTCAAACGAATGGATTGATTTCAGTAACAAAATATCGACCATACAACTTCTTGTTCTCATTTAAGGAAGGAATTGTACAGTTGCCAATAACCCAAACACCAGTCATTATCATAGCCCAATGTCAAGGTAGGTGACACCTTTGCGTCAGAAACTGGTCCTCATTATAGTCATCACCACTAAATGACTAATTTCGGGGAAGATCGCATGACGTCATACATATTTTGAACAAGGACATAGCACAATATTCACAATTATCACGATTTTAGGGTGGTAAGGTTTCACCTAATTTTAGAATGCTTAAACCGAAGCAAAAGGCTAAACGAAGATAATATTACTCTTCAATATAGTCCTTTCGTCCGATTAAACTAGACACTTGTTCAGGATAAGTGTCGTCAATGACGTTGAGGACTATTACCCTCCCTGGAGGCATAGTCATGTTCTGCCTGTAGTCTTTCAAAGGTCGTTGTGTAAATATTTCCTTTGATAATATGGTGCCATTGTTTTACCGTTTTTTAGGTTTGAATAATGATTTTCTGAAACAAATAATCGACGATACCCGCGATAAAAATCAAGGTAGACTACTTCCCATTAGCAAACACTACGTTTTCCCTCATGAGGAATGTCAATAACAATGTCAAGTGCATAAAAAATGTCACAATATCGATGATGATATCTGCCAATTGTTAAAAGGTACTTATTATAACACCACAATATGTTCAACAGGGTTTATTGTGATAAAAATAACCCTGAAAACATAGTGTGATAAAATATGAATGGTCTATGCACTACTATCATATGTATAAAGGTTCTGATATCAGCATATTGCAAATTTCTTTTTTACTATAACGAGCATGTGTTCATCTTAATTTATTTATCTTATAGTGGGTGAAAATGCAAAACAAGGAGGCGTTCCAAATCTGCAAATACACAAAGTTTTATCTCAAGTAATGGAAGGGCAGGCGAGTTGTTGGAAATCAAGCAAGAACCTTAAGGTATATAACAAACCGTTAATCAATTGTTCTTGAATGCTTTGTGTAATACACGTAATATGTTATCATACTAGATTTTGGGTTTGTACAAATTCTGCCTGAAGATTTTACGTATTTGATATCCTTTACCTTTTCATCATAGCACATTTCAAACAGATTTTCTCAATTAAGTTTTTGTTATCCAATGCATGATCTCAAGAGGCGACTAAAGACTCCCTGCAAAATTATCCCTTTGGTTCATTAATTATATCATAAATTCTACAAATAACAACCGCCTTTCTATTGTCTCCTGTTACCAAATGGTTTGATCTGCACGTGTTCCTTTTTTAGTCTAAGAGTCTGTCAGAAAAAAATCTATGACTGTCAAATGCTTCCGGTATAATCCAAACTTCACATTTATAACAATAACCAAATCAAACCAAACCACAGGAGAGACATTTTGCTTGTTGCAGCTGGCTGGGGGGAGAAAATCCGAGATTACTTTGAAGTCATTGTTCTTCGGTACATTCTCAGCGAGCATAAAGTTGATACCACCAGATGAGATAGATTTCCAGGCGGTCTTTCTGAATTTCTCTGAAAAGCTGAATGACACACCATATGTCTTGGCAACAGTACTAGCAGTACTTATCGCCCTTGTCATCGCAACCCCAATACTGCGTAAACAGGATTGCATCGACTATGCTCTGGTACATATATGTTTAATAGTTATTTTCAATATAATGTTATAATTTTGTCGCATCTATGAGTGATGATTCTTTTCATAAGACTAGGAATGAATGCTGGAATTATGCACCTTTTTTGAAACGTAATGCTATGTGTTTGTTCACAGTGGTCATATGAGCGTTTGATTGATAACAAAGCCGATTCGACCTTCGATTATTATATCTGTGTATCCACTGGAGTCAGGTCAAAGAGGCAAATGGAGGCATTGGTTTATATCAATATCATCGGAACCAGAGGCGAGACCGGGGCACGCCTATTGGCAGGAAACAACAGAAAGGTATTAAATATGTGGTTGATTCTAGGAAAACGGCTGTTTGCTCAAGATTAATAAAACCGTTGCCGTCGTTCCCCTTAAAGCCTCATGTCTAAAATTGTATAATTAGGATTTTATACATTCTTCAGTGTATTATTTTTGTAAACTTTTTGTATTACATATAGTAAAATAGTTTGTCTTTGGTCTCAGTTGAGCTAAGGACGACGATTATCAAACTTTAAAATATCTTTTGTCATTCAAATCCTTGATGGCTCCGATAGTTGATCCGTTTGATGACAAATGAAACATATCTGGGGAGTCCTTTTATTTTTATTTTCTGACAAAAGTTAATTTTGACAACTTCACGTTGTAAAGGAGCATTATAAGATATCAGTTTTTTCATTTGGACACTTTTGACAACGGTATTTCCTTTTCGATGAAAACATGACCATATCAAACTGAACAAATTACTCTTGAACAATTTTAATATCCCCCTCGTAAAATAAAGATAACATTGAACTTGTTTTCTTGTTTACTGCCTTCTTCTTCCAGTCATTGTCAAGATGTAATAGTAGGACGATTAGAATTATATGCCCTCAAAGGTGAAGCATCCGAAATGACACATGAAAAAATTGCTAGGTCTTTAAAATAGTGATGAAGAAAATGTAAAATGAATTCCTTTGATTTACAGATAAAAACAGTTAACATTTCGGGGATTGAAACTAACCAAAGCACTATGCAATTCTATTTTTTGTTTATCAATGAAACCTGCGATTAAGATGATGGTTTTGCTTTGCCTGAAAACTCAACGGTAGTGATCTTTCTTATATCACGACGTAGTACTGCACACTATAAAATGATGTTTTACGTATAATTTCAGAATTTTAGCAACGGAACCTCGTGTAATTTCTTTTTGAAATCAGCTATTTTCCTTGGAAATATTAAAACCGTCAAGATTTGGCTTGGAGGAAATATCAAATGGCAATCATGGTACTTGAGCAAAATCATCATAATAGACGGAAAGACGAGAAATGCGTAAGTATAATGTACTGACTATTTTAAATTTGGTATCATCAGTTACAATTGTAACGTATCCCCTTCTTCTAAATGGCTCAACTTTTAATAATATAAACAAGGTTCAAAACTTTAATGCTATTAATTACAAAGCAGAAGGCTCTCAATAGTTGTTGTGATTCTTTCCTACAAAGACAAATCCATTGTTAATGGCTGACGAGATGACACCAAAAGTGTGAGCTTGCTGAAATTCTTATTTCCATCGGTATATATTGTATCATTTATCAATTCATTCTACTTAGGATTCAGCTGAAATGCAACAAATGGCTGTCACTTGAAAAAGGCACAGGTCGGCCCTGGCGAACATTACGAGCCGGAAAGCAAACTGACAAAGCGAGCAGCCTTTCAGAAGTCAGTACACGGAATTTATTTGATGATCATCTGTGGTTTTCACTGCTATTCCGTCCAAGGTACAGCAGATTTACCAGGGTACAGAGGCTGTGGAGCATAGTATCACTACTGTTCCTTTCAATGGTTGCCTCAGCGATGTTTTATGATACACCAGACGATACGCTTCCTTTTTTAAACGTGGGAAACTTCGAACTTGGGTACAAGGAAATATACACTGGGTTGATGTCCAGTATCATAACGGTTGTGCCATCTTTGATTATAACCTTCGCGTTCAGCAAAAGAAAAGTTCTTGGGGAGAAACCTTTGAGCATCTCATATAACGGTGACACTGTTGGTTCCTCTGGAAGTCTACCCTGGTGGTCAATATTCCTAGCATACACATTACTGTTGCTATGCATCATTTCTGGTTCATTTTTTAGACTTTTGTACTCATTGGAATGGGGACCTTCCCTCACTGTGAAATGGATGTCTTCGTTTTTTCTTGGATCAACACAAAGTGCCATCATAATCGACCCTGCAAAGGTAAGGGGATTTATGTTTAGATTTTGCAACAAAATGTTTACAAATCGCTTCATTTTAAGAATACTTATTTTTTTCTTCAGCTTATACTTTCTAAATAGAACCCGAACTTACGAAAGGAGTAACAGCGACTATGTGATTCGGATTTGCAAGCGCGATTCTTAAACATATCAGTCTACAGTATCTAAGCTTACAGTCACTCAGACTGTAGTCACTTAGTCTACAGTCTCTAAGTCTACAATATCTTAGTCGCGGTCACTTAGACTGTAGTCATTTAGACTGTAGTCACTTAGTCTGTAGTCACTTAGACTGTAGTCACTTAGTCTACAATCTATTAGTCTACAGACTCTAAGTCTGCAGTCTTTAAGCTAACAGTCACTTAGATTATGGTCACTTAGACTGTAGTCACTTAGTCTGTTGTCACTTAGACTGTAGTTACTCAGACTATAGTCACTTGGTCTACAGTCTCTAAGTCTACAATATCTTAGTCGCGGTCACTTAGACTGTAGTCACTTAGACTTTAGTCACTTAGACAGTAGTCACTTAGACTGTAGTCACTTATACTGTAGTCACTTAGACTTTAGTCACTTAGACAGTAGTCACTTAGACTGTAGTCACGTAGACTGTAGTCACTTAGTCTACAGTCTCTAAATCTACAGTATCTTAGTCTACAATATCTAAGCCTGGAGTAACTTAGACTGTAGTCACTTAGTCTACAATTTCTAAGTCTACAATTTATTAGTCTACAGATTCTAAGTCTGCAGTCTCTAAGCTAACAGTCACTTAGATTGTAGTCATTTAGTCTACAGTATTTTAATCTACAATATCTAAGTATACAGTTTCTTAGTCTGCGGGCTCTAATTTAACAGTCACTTAGACTGACGTCACTTAGTCTACAATCTCCAAGTCTGCAATATCTTAGTCTAAAATTTCGAAGTTTACAGTTTATAAACTTACAGTCACTTAGACTGTAGTCACTTAGTCTACATTATCTAAATCTACAATATCTTAGTTTAAAGTTTCTAAGTCTGCGGTCTCTAAGCTAACAGTCACTTAGACTGAAGTCACTTAGTCTACATTATCTAAATCTACAATATCTTAGTATAAAGTTTCTAAGTCTGCGGTCTCTAAGCTAACAGTCACTTAGACTGAAGTCACTTAGTCTACAATCTCTAAGTCTACAGTGTCTTAGTCTACAGTCGTAAAGACTTGGTTGCGTGGGGTATTTAACAACTTCTGTTTTTTATTTAAATTGTGCTTTATATTCGTACTAGTTACATTGTATAACTTCGAAAATGCATTATTGATCCTAATGTATTCCCCCCCCCCCCCCCCCCCCCCCCCCGCATCATTTGGTATCAATTGCTATCTATATGACTAATGATCAATCAAATTCTAATTAGGAATACTATTAACGTTTTTAAAGATCAAAACAAATATGTAGATTTACTCTGAACTGTCCTTTGACTGACGTGATGGCGTCATAATTTTTTATGATATATGTAAATTGTAATATGTAATGTTGATTATTATGTCCCCCAAACGAAGTTGGGGACTTATTGGTTTTACTCCGTTTCTTCTTCTTTTTCTTCTTCTTCTTTCTTCTTCTTCTTCTTCTTCTTCTTCTTCTTCTTCTTCTTCTTCTTCTTCTTCTTAAATTGTTTTATGCTCAAATTTAGTTTATACATTGTTGGTGTATTACATGGCATTGCGATCCTTTTCTTTTGCTTTTCTTTTGGCAGTTTGAGGGCTTTCTGTAATGGTCCCCCATTACCATTAATTACTACTTGTTTTTAATGTTTTACTTATAAGGTCACCTGAGACAAGATCTCAAGTGACCTATTGCGATCGCCTTTTGTCCGGCGTCAGCCGTCATGCGTCATGCTACCTTAAACAATTTACATTTTCGACTTCTTCTCCAAAACACCTGAACCAATTTCAATGAAATTTTGCAGAAACCTTCCAGGGCCAATGGTCTACCCCAACTAGGAATTATATGGTCCACAGCCCCCAGGGGCCTGAGGGGCGGGGCCAAAAATGGTCAAATTGACTAAAATTTCAAAAATCTTTTCTCAAGATCTAGATAGAGTAAAATCAAATACTCTTCATATATGGAAGGGTCTTAAGGTGATTTACCAAAATTGTGAATTTCGTGACCTTGGGTATCACGTTTCTCCTTGGGGAGGGTGTAAACGTTACTATAGCTTATATAGGGAAATCACATTTTGGACCAACATTTGTTTAGTTTACATTGGAATTAATTCAAACTTGGTTAGCATTATCAGTATTGGATAGGAGTTTGATGGTATGCACATATCAGCCCTGACTGACCCCCAGGGGCTGATAGGTGGGGCCAGAAAGGGTTCAATTGACTGACTTTTTTAAAACCTTCTTCTCAAGACCCGTATATGGTAGAATCAAATACTCTTCATAGATGGAAGAGTCTTAAGTTGCATTACCAAAATTGTGATTTTCATGACCCTGGGGTCTCACGTTTTCCCCTGGGGAGGGGGAAAACTTTATTATAGTTTATATAGGGAAATCATATTCTGGACCAACATTAGTTTAATTTCCATTGGAATTAATTCAAACTTGGTTAGCATTATCAGCATTAGATAGAAGTTTGATTTTATGCACATATCAGCCCTGACTGACCTCCAGGGGCTAATGGGTGGGGCCAGAAAGGGTTGAATTCACTGAAATTTCAAAAATCTTTTTCTCAAGACCCAGATATGGTAGTATCAAATATTCTTCATAGATGAAAGGGTATTAAGGTTCTTTACCAAATTTGTGAATTTCATGACCCTGGGATCTCACGTTCCACCCTGGGGAGGGGGTAAACTTTACTATAGTTCATATAGGGAAATCACAATTTGGACCAGCATTTGTTTAATATCCATTGGAATTAATTCAAACTTGGTTGGCATTATCAGTATTTGATAGCAGTTTCATGATATGCACAAATTAGTCCTGACTGACCTCCAAAGGGTGATTGGTGTCGCCAAAAAGGATCAAATTGACTAAAATTTCAAAAATCTTCTTCTCAAGACCCAGATATGTTAGAATCACATGCTCTTCATAGATGGAAGGGTCTTAAGGTGATTTACCAAATTGTGAATTTCATGACCCTGGGGTCTCACTTTTACCCCTGAGGAGGGGATAAACTTTATTATAGTTTATCTAGGGAAATCCAATTTTGGACCAACTTTTGTTTAATTTCCATTGCAATTAATTCAAACTTCGTTAGCATTATTAGCATTAGATAGAAAAATGATTGTATGCACATATCAGCCCTGACTGACCCTCAGGGGCTGATGGGTTGGGCCAAAAAGGGTTGAATTCACTGAAATTTCTAAAATCTTCTTCTCAAGACCCAGTTATGGTAGAATCAAATGCACTTCATAGATGGAAGGGTCTTAAGTTGCGTTACCAAACCTGTGAATTTCATGAACCTGGGGTATCACGTTTCTCCCTGGGGAGGGGATAAACTTTACTATAGTTTTTATCTGGAAATCACATTTTGGACCAACATTTGTTTAATTTCCATTGGAATAAATTCATACCTCGTTAGCATTATCAGCATTGAATAGCAGTTTGATGCTTTGTACATATCAGCCCTGACTGACCCCGAGGGGCTGATGTGTTGGGCCAAAAAGGGTTGAATTCACTGAAATTTCAAATATCTTCTCCTCAAGACCCAGATATGGTAGAATCAAATACATTTAATAGATGGAAGGGTCTTAAGGTGCTTTACCAAAATTGTGAATTTCATGACCCTTGGGTCACACGTTTCCCTCCTGGGGGGGGGATACACTTTATTATAGTTTATATAGGGAAATCACATTTTGACCCAGCATTTGTTTAATTTCCATTGGAATTAATTCAAACTTGGTTAGCATTATCAGTATTGGATAGGAGTTTGATGGTATGCACATATCAGTCCTGACTGACCCCCAGGGGCTAATGAGTGGGGCCAGAAAGGGTTGAATTGACTGAAATTTTTAAACCTTCTTCTCAAGACCCGTATTTGGTAGAATCAAATATTCTTCATAGATGGAAGAGTCTTAAGTTGCATTACCAAAATTGTGATTTTCATGACCCTGGTGTCTCACGTTTTCCCCTGAAGAGGGGGAAAACTTTATTATAGTTTATATAGGGAAATCATATTTTGGACCAACTTTTGTTTAATTTCCATTGCAATTAATTCAAAATTGGTTAGCATTATTAGCATTAGATAGAAAATTGATTGTATGCACATTTCAGCCCTGACTGACCCCCAGGGGCTGATGGGTGGGGCCAAAAAGGGTTGAATTCACTGAAATTTCTAAAATCTTCTTCTCAAGACCCAGTTATGGTAGAATCAAATGCACTTCATAGATGGAAGGGTCTTAAGTTGCGTTACCAAACCTGTGAATTTCATGAACCTGGGGTATCACGTTTCTCCCTGGGGAGGGGATAAACTTTACTATAGTTTTTATCTGGAAATCACATTTTGGACCAACATTTGTTTAATTTCCATTGGAATAAATTCATACCTCGTTAGCATTATCAGCATTGAATAGCAGTTTGATGCTTTGTACATATCAGCCCTGACTGACCCCGAGGGGCTGATGTGTTGGGCCAAAAAGGGTTGAATTCACTGAAATTTCAAATATCTTCTCCTCAAGACCCAGATATGGTAGAATCAAATACATTTAATAGATGGAAGGGTCTTAAGGTGCTTTACCAAAATTGTGAATTTCATGACCCTTGGGTCACACGTTTCCCTCCTGGGGGGGGGATACACTTTATTATAGTTTATATAGGGAAATCACATTTTGACCCAGCATTTGTTTAATTTCCATTGGAATTAATTCAAACTTGGTTAGCATTATCAGTATTGGATAGGAGTTTGATGGTATGCACATATCAGTCCTGACTGACCCCCAGGGGCTAATGAGTGGGGCCAGAAAGGGTTGAATTGACTGAAATTTTTAAACCTTCTTCTCAAGACCCGTATTTGGTAGAATCAAATATTCTTCATAGATGGAAGAGTCTTAAGTTGCATTACCAAAATTGTGATTTTCATGACCCTGGTGTCTCACGTTTTCCCCTGAAGAGGGGGAAAACTTTATTATAGTTTATATAGGGAAATCATATTTTGGACCAACTTTTGTTTAATTTCCATTGCAATTAATTCAAAATTGGTTAGCATTATTAGCATTAGATAGAAAATTGATTGTATGCACATTTCAGCCCTGACTGACCCCCAGGGGCTGATGGGTGGGGCCAAAAAGGGTTGAATTCACTGAAATTTCTAAAATCTTCTTCTCAAGACCCAGTTATGGTAGAATCAAATGCACTTCATAGATGGAAGGGTCTTAAGTTGCGTTACCAAACCTGTGAATTTCATGAACCTGGGGTATCACGTTTCTCCCTGGGGAGGGGATAAACTTTACTATAGTTTTTATCTGGAAATCACATTTTGGACCAACATTTGTTTAATTTCCATTGGAATAAATTCATACCTCGTTAGCATTATCAGCATTGAATAGCAGTTTGATGCTTTGTACATATCAGCCCTGACTGACCCCGAGGGGCTGATGTGTTGGGCCAAAAAGGGTTGAATTCACTGAAATTTCAAATATCTTCTCCTCAAGACCCAGATATGGTAGAATCAAATACATTTAATAGATGGAAGGGTCTTAAGGTGCTTTACCAAAATTGTGAATTTCATGACCCTTGGGTCACACGTTTCCCTCCTGGGGGGGGGATACACTTTATTATAGTTTATATAGGGAAATCACATTTTGACCCAGCATTTGTTTAATTTCCATTGGAATTAATTCAAACTTGGTTAGCATTATCAGTATTGGATAGGAGTTTGATGGTATGCACATATCAGTCCTGACTGACCCCCAGGGGCTAATGAGTGGGGCCAGAAAGGGTTGAATTGACTGAAATTTTTAAACCTTCTTCTCAAGACCCGTATATGGTAGAATCAAATATTCTTCATAGATGGAAGAGTCTTAAGTTGCATTACCAAAATTGTGATTTTCATGACCCTGGTGTCTCACGTTTTCCCCTGAAGAGGGGGAAAACTTTATTATAGTTTATATAGAGAAATCCAATTTTGGACCAACTTTTGTTTAATTTCCATTGCAATTAATTCAAAATTGGTTAGCATTATTAGCATTAGATAGAAAATTGATTGTATGCACATATCAGCCCTGACTGACCCCCAGGGGCTGATGGGTGGGGCCAAAAAGGGTTGAATTCACTGAAATTTCTAAAATCTTTTTCTCAAGACCCAGATATGGTAGAATCAAATACACATCATAGATGGAAGGATCGTAAGATGCTTTACCAAAATTGTGAATTTCATGACCCTGGGGTCTCACGTTTCCCTCCTGGGTGGGGGGGGATACACTTTATTATAGATTATATAGGGAAATCACATTTGACCCAACATTTGTTTAATTTCCATTGGAATTAATTCAAACTTGGTAGGCATTATCAGTTTTTGATAGCGGTTTCAGGATATGCACAAATTAGTCCTGACTGACCTGCAAAGGGTGATGGGTGGGGTCAGAAATGGTTGAATTGATTGAAATTTCTAAAATCTTCTTCTCAAGACCCAGATATGGTAGAATGAAATACTCTTCATAGATGGACGGGTCTTTACCAAATTGTGAATTTCATGACCCTGGGGTCTCACTTTTACCCCTGAGGAGGGGATAAACTTTACTATAGTTTATATAGGGAAATCATATTTTGGACCAACTTTTGTTTAGTTTTCATTGCAATTAATTCAAACTTCGTTAGCATTATTAGCATTAGATAGAAAATTGATTGTATGCACATATCAGCCCTGACTGACCCCCAGGGGCTGATGGGTGGGGCCAAAAAGGGTTGAATTCACTGAAATTTCTAAAATCTTCTTCTCAAGACCCAGATATGGTAGAATGAAATACTCTTCATAGACGGAAGGGTCTTAAGTTGCGTTACCAAACCTGTGAATTTCATGAACCTGGGATATTACCTTTCTCCCTGGGGAGGGGATAAACTTTACTATAGTTTTTATCTGGAAATCACATTTTGGACCAACATTTGTTTAATTTCCATTGAAATAAATTCATACCTCGTTAGCATTATCAGCATTGGATACCAGTTTGATGCTATGTACATATCAGCCCTGACTGACCCCGAGGGGCTGATGGGTGGGGCCAAAAAGGGTTGAATTGACTGAAATTTCAAATATTTTCTTCTCAAGACCCAGATATGGTAGAATCAAATACACTTCTTAGATGGAAGTATCTTAAGGTGCTTTACCATAATTGGGAATTTCATGATCCTGGAGTCTCATGTTTCCCCCTGGCGAGGGGGTAAACTTTACTTTTGTTTATTTGTGAATCATATGGTCCCGAGCCCCCAGCAGCCTGACGGGCGTGGCCAAAAAGGGTAAAATTTACTAAACTTTCAAAAAATTTCTTCTCAAGATCCAGATATGGTAGAATCAAATACTCTTCATAGATGGAAGTGTCTTAAGGTGCTTTACCATAATTCAGCTGCTTGACAGAACCACTATTTGTACAAAGTACATATACTACCCAGATATTTTACACTGCTTTTGCATTACACGTAGTTCAAGTTACTTTTGTTACAAACTAATTTCTTTTTCACTCACATAACTCAGGTGACCGTTAAGGCCCATGGGCCTCTTGTTATTTATACGCGAAAATTAGCTTTCAGTGTCGTGAAACTGTGAACCCGCGCTTTGTAAGTTTGAATAAAAGCGAGTGTTGTGTACGATTCACGTGATGTGTTTTAAACATGTTTACCGTGGTCAGATGTCTTGTCTATTTTTACTGTTGTCATTGTCTAAGTTTTATTTTTGGCGCGTTGTGGTTAGTTTTGAACAGCGCGGTCAAAGACTAAACGTAAAATGAAATAGAACGCTGTTCATGTACATACATGTAATGCCGCCATGTTATTTGTATGAAAATGCGATTGTGTGAAACCCCTTTTCATGTAGAAGAGGGTATATTTATTATTCGGCTATTCCGATAATAAACTCATTAAACGTACCTTTGGAGATGTAGGAAATGTGTCTGTACAACCAAGCCGGAGATACTATACTTCCCCTGCTACGTTACAAGCAGGATTTGCCAATTCCTCCACAAATCGACAAACCAATCAATATGTTGTGATATAAAACTCGAACGGGTCTGTTTGTATAAGCAAATCACTATATTTAAAAATTTGAAGCAAAATACCGTCAAATTCAGATATTTATCAAAGTATATTTCTTTAAGTAAATTTCAGTGTTGCTGATTGACCATGTGTCCAAATAGCAACATCTATCTGGTTTCTAGTTAAAACACTTTTCGAGCTTAATGATAATATCATAAAAATCACACCTAGTCCCATCTCATTATTTTTTCCATTTGTATGACTTTAGTTTTGATCATATACTTTCGAAACTTCTTTATTGTGGTTTTCGATACCACTGATTAAAATGCGGAGTTAGTTTTATTTTAATCTTCTTATATACGTTAATCCATAAATTATAAATGGAGGTAATTTCGATTACATTTCACCATCAGAGTTGATACGTGTTTAACACAATGAAAACCAGACATATGGCTAACTGTTCTGGCTATATATTTTGTCGTACTATTTTAGGCAATCATACTCGCAATCCTTCTAGTTTGTCTCTGTTCAGAGAAGAACAATCGAAGTGATTTTTACCTTCCGCCGACCTCTGTAGTAGACAAACAACAAGAGTTCGCCGGTCAAGGTAAGTAAAAACTTTTTTATGGCGATGTATAAATAAAAACGATTCAACATTTTCATTTCTCGGAAAAATATTTCTATATCATTTAAGCGACGATATCAAAGACACTGTTCTATTATCGTAAATAGTAGATTTGTACCTTGTCAACACGTCTGAACGTCCGGAACGTTTTGACTTGAGCAAATGTTTATGCATATCACTAATCAATTGAATATAGAAATGTTTTGTGATTCATAGCGTTCTGAAACAAATATGTTGTAAAGGACACTGTAACAGACGAGTAGCAGACTGTCCGTGTGATGAACCAGAAACCAGAGCCCAGAAAAAGCGTCGTTACACGCTACACATGGATCGGAAACTAAACAAATTACTGAGGAGATTCGTGTTTGGGGTTTTATATGCTTGCATGGTTTTGCTCATTGGTACACAGCAGAAAGTTTCCGAAGTGTATGGGCAAAACAAGCACTTGAAAAACGTTTTGAAACCTACACAAGAGGTACACTAACTGTATCTATTATTTTTTTTTGTAATATTTTATGTTTTGATCTCAAAATTAATTTGATTATTTATTATCCAATGAGTTAAAACTTGAAATACGAATTACAATATACAGGTTAAAAAGATACAATTAATCTATGAAGAAATATGATAAAGTTTAAAGCAAGCACTTTTAATCACAACAATAATTAGTGTTCTCCAAAAAATCCCACATATATACATATTGTACTTTCTTAAACATTGTGACAATAGCTAAGCAATTATCTATGATTTCTGATGCAGGTGGAAAAAATGGAAGATGTCTGGCAATACCTGAACAAAGTAGTATTGCAACGTTTGTACCCTTCGGAGTTTTCCAGTGGTGAAATAAAATCATTGAATGAGCTGAGATTTATTGGAGACTGCTATAAAATGGGGCCCATACGCCTTCGCCAAATTCGAGTAACGGGTAGGGATGACAACAACAAAATATAAGTTAATATGGAGAAAATTCATTTTTATCTTAAACACGGATCACGTGACGTAGATAAGTACGCATGTTAAGTAACAAACAGAAAAAATAATTGTGGTGAAATATAATGTATATAAACACGGGTTACAGGTAACGTAAACATACATGGGTGAGATAAACACGAGTGAAAGGTAAAGTAAATAAAATCGCGCGTCATGAAATGTTAACAAATACGGATGTCTGGGTAAAGTAGATACGTACTAATGACAAGTAACGTAGACCACACGGATGTCAGGTAACATAGATAAACACGGATGGCAGGTAACGTAGATTAACACGAACGCCAGCCAACGTAGATAAACACAGTGGTCAGATAACGAAGATAACACTGGTGTCAGGTAACGAAGTTATAATCTGTTGACAGGTAATATAGACCACACGGGTGCCAAGTAATATAAATAAACACGAATGACAGGTAACGAAGATAAATATGAAGTACAGGTAACGAAGATAAACACGAACGTCAGAAACTCAAACGTATGTATTGACTTGCCCATTAACATTCAACCTTTGATAGGACCAACGCATCTCGACCTGTACTCTGACTCAAAGGCACTTGATATTTATTCAGATTTAATGACACTCGACCTCTTTTGAAGCTACCTTGCATTCGACCCCTTTTTGTATATACTGTCACTCGACTCTTATTCTGTCTCATTCATTATTTTGACTCTTAAATGACATCCGATATTTTTGACACAATCATAATAGTCCCACTATTTTGGACTTTGTCAATAACACAGATTACAGTATTCAGTTTTTTATTGGCACATGGCCACTGTTCTGACTCAACGCTTGACTTGATTTGCTCATTGACACGTGTCCTCTGTTCTGTTACTTGACGCTTTGATCGACTTGCTCATTGGAACTCGTCTTTTGTTTTGACTTGGTCATTGACCCTCGACGCTTCGATTGACTAACTTTATGATACCCAACGCTTCGTTTGACTCACTAGATAATACTCGACACTTCATTTGACTCACTTATTGATACTCAACACTTTGTTTGATTCCCTCAATGATAATCGACTCTTCGTTAGACTCACTAATTTATACTCGACACTTCGTTTGACTCTCTTAATGAAACTGGACGCTTTGTTTGACTCACTTGATGATACTGGACATCTCTCCAGATTCAATGCTGTCATAGTCAAAATTCTAACATTTTTAAACGAAGATCTTTTTAACGACACATATTACTTTTTTTCAAATTGAAGGCACTTGTACCACTCCATCATTGATGAAGAAACACGGGATAGTTTGTATTCCTGACTACGATACGGATACCGAAGACACTAATGACTACACCGAAGGTGTGGAAATAACAAAATAAATTACTTTATGTACCTTATTTTGTCTGCTGTTTCGCGAAGATATTTTTTTCGCGTTGGTTCTACAAAAAAAGGACAAGTATAAATGCACTTTTCAGCATTGTGTTACCTGAATAATGCAAAACTAACAGCAACATATGTTTCAAAAATGTATACTATGTCTTCACATGACACTGTTATTGCATGCCTCTTTAAAAGCCAATTGGTCTAGTGAATTTACATTGTGGCAATGACGTCGCGTTTGTATCCTTACAACCGCACGGCAACATCGATGGCAGCATCATAACTGTTTAGTTCTATCAAATTTACACAAATTGTAGGATTTTATAATAATTAATCTTAGACTCCTATTCCTTGATCAAAATGAAGTTCCAAGTTAGTTGGTTGGTTAATGGTTGTTCATCACTATCCATCGCCATTGAAAAGTATGCTATTCGAATGTGCCGTTCTTGGATTAATATCTGTCGTTTTGTACAAGTGATTGTGCTATCACTCCTTTATCTATTATATAATATTACGCAATTGAGTATTTCCAATTTGTCATACTTACATTAATTTTGTATATTCAATTATTGTCATTGTTTATCTTATTGATTTTAAAACTTGATACGTTCCCGATATACGAGAAGAACTTTAAAGTTTTATATTGTGGGAATGCAAATCTAAGGATTATTTTGTTGTAGGATTTGTTGTTGACGATGTCTTAAAGACAAAGTTGAGTTCTAATGAAGGACTGTACATATTCATATTATAAATAGTGAGATCAAATGTTATAAATATCTCGATGACATTGCTAATTGTACTTTATTCATAATTACAAATATGTTGCTGCAGGTTGGATCACAGCGAATATGTCTGCTTCATTGAATGACTACAAAGCTTCGTATCGATACCATCACAACCTCAAAGAAACGCCCACTTACACTGGACATTTCGGAACATATGGTGTCGGTGGCTATTTCGTTGATTTGGATGTTTTGCCCACTAAGGCCAACGATATTGTAAATAGATTGCGAAGGAATGTTTGGCTTGATGAACGAACACGTGCCTTTTTCATTGAAGCATGCCTCGTTAACAGAAACAACATGATTTTTACTCATATTCAAGTCGTATTCGAATTCCCAAGCACAGGTGGAATATTCACAGACACAACCGTTGTTTCATCCAATCTCTATCCGTACACACACACGTTTGACTACATTATTCTGTTCCTTCAGATATTGTTTTCATTTATCATCTTGGTGCGGTTCGTGTTGGTGGTTGCAAAGATTATAAAAACACAAGGTCACTCCCTTTTAACAGTGAGTCAAGCCATCGAAATTGTTCATCTAGGAGTCTCCGTGGCTGCTGTCGTTTGCCTTGTCCTCAGATTCACCAGCACAATAGCCGTTCTTAACACTCTCCGACAGGAAATGGGTAAGTGATACTATAAGTGTCATCTTTGAGGATAACTGTAACAAGAATTGTACGTCTGGTATGTTTATATGTATGTGGGTATATATATAGCTTCTTATAACTATCCTATAAATAAAACGTAAAACAGATATATAATGACGCAACACTTGGACATTTCTTGCATTAAAGACAGTTCAATGTTATTGAATATCCATGTTCGAAGTGTTTTGAAATAAATGTAGAAAACAGTAGAAGATTTATATTGTTATACATTGACAACTTTTAGCTGCAACAGACCAAAACAGATCAATCTTTTCTTCAAATGTCATTTCATGTGAAGCGTTTTGGATTAATTATAGCTATAAAGATATATCTTTTGAAGTAACATCTCACTAGGATACGAAGTATAAGTCCTTTCAATTATCTTTGACAGGTTTCTACACATCCTTTGGGTATGTCTTTCAATGGGATGGATATTTCTCTTTATCCTTGGGTATGGTTACGTTCCTTGCTATCCTGGACCTGCTAAAACATCTGCAATTTAATTACCAGATCTTCTTGGCGTACAAGACAATCACAGCGTTTCGAAGAGAGCTTTTTCATTTTACAATAGCCCTATCAGTTCTTATTGTTGGTTTCGCATCTTTGATTACTCTGATATATGGTCCCACGGAAAAGGGTTTCAGAAGCATTATATCCGCAATACTGACTCTGTTTCGTACGACAATCGGAATGATCAAATTCCGCAATGACATAGATGTGCCAGCACTAGATATATTTGTCATGTTTGCAATATACGCCTTAGTCGCTACGCTTGCATTTGTTAATCTTTTAACAAGTTCACTGAATGCTCACATCACACACATCAAGCAGTTGATTAGAGACGGGAAGACACCGTTCGACTGGAATCTCAGTCGACACTTCTGGAATCGTCTGACAGGTTTATTCACCGTATGTGGTGTTGCAAGACGACGCAATAGCAGAAAGAAAGGTTTGTTGAGCTTTCGAGCATATTTAGCTTCATGATTTAAGTTTCTTTTATGATCTCGTTAATATGTAATTATAATTTTTAGTATCTTGATTTGTCTGTTCTCAGCTGAAAATTTATTATTGATATTCACAGCTTTGGAAGTCTATAAAGTGTTTTGCGACAAGAAATTGTTATCGTCTTGTTGATTTATTGATCTCACAAAGAATCACTTCTACCAGTTATAGTAATACACTATTTATTTATTTTCAATTCAGATCATCTACACGATATTGACCACCTACACCAGGTAATAGAAAACTGCCTTTTTCGTTGTTGTTTTTTTTTTTTTTTTTCTTTTTTTTTTACACGTATTCAATAATCCCTTGCCGTAATAACTTTATTTTTTCTAGTAAACATTATGCATTTTCCAATACATTCAGTGATTTCAATTTAGATAACAGTTTTTCATTTTCGTCCTACGAAAGCCCTTGTCCATCAAGGGCATGCCATGGGGGGGGGGGGGGCAGGATACCGGTGTACCTGGAGCTGTTGTACGTTTGCGTTATATGCATATTGTTTTCAATTTCAATAGAAGAGCGAGATTAAGTTCGACCAATTCCTGTCAACCGTAATGCTATTGCTCCGAGACGACGACAATGAAAGGATGGAAAAAGAAAACCTGTGTCGTATATTGGTAAACCTGAGACGTGGATGTCGACGTAGGGCTACACCAAATGGAATTCAATATAGGTATAAGCTGAGTAACAATCAAGAAATGTTGTTTATCCGTATTTCTACAACCTCATCAGAGAGCCGATGAAACTTAAATATGAATATATATATAAAAAAAAATCCGAGACGTTTTCGCTGCATGTACATTTTCGACCTTTTTCTCCCGCCGTAATGAGGGCAAATACATTACTACAGCAAAATATTTTGTAAATAGCATAATGCATATAGCAAATCAATGTGAAGAGCGAATTAAACACTTAGTGGATATTTATTTCATAGGTGAAGGCTGAAAGTTTGACTGGGCGAAACTTTCCCGGTAAACAGTACTTTCTGTAAGGTATAAGAGTCATAGCAAACTCGATTAATTTATCAATTATATACATAAATTTATATTATATAAAAACGACGTGCATTAGAGTGTGACATTTTGCAGGGTCACCCATCGGATATCACTGTCACCCAAGGCGAAGCCGAGTGTGACAGTGATAACCTCGGGGTGACTCTAGGCACTGTCACACTCTAATGCATGTAGTATTTTTTTTATTATACAGAAAGTCAATGAGCTGTGGATAATTCTCACATCAAATCACCAAGAAAAACCCTATGGTCCTCTGCTTTTGAAATAAAGATACGTTAGACTTACTGCACAATTTACGCATTTCCGAAAATGTCTGTGGTTATCTAGCAGACGGCATGCTATAAATTTACCAAATCAAAGAAGCACTTGAAACACTCTCTCATGTTAGTGTTAAAACGTCGTATTGATCACCGGCGAGTAATACACAGTAGCGACATTGAATGCATGTGGGCCTAAAGGCGCTGTGACAAAAATGGATATATTACGAACGAGAACAGTTATGCTTCATGTATTGAAGTGGTTGAAAAAAGGCAAAGCTATAACAGATTATGCCCGTTTGTTAAGTCAGTGCCTCTATAAAATGGGCATGTTTCCCTTTCCCGAACATCTTATTTTACAGATATTCTAACGACTGGTCTGAGGCAGATGACATGTTAGTGGTTGAGTTCCTAGCTGAAGTGGTGAGCTGTAGAATTGATGTGGACTGCTACACGATATCTGAGGCCGATAATCAGGGATTGATTCCATACGGAAATTATACTGACCCACTCAGTATGTTCTTCAGCATCAACTTTCCTAACAGACAACATGCACGTGCATTGTCTCCGGTAAGCACACAGTCATCATATCTTCAGCTGATATAGTAAAATTTGAGGAAACATCAAAAGTTTACTAACACAAAACTTGAGAAAAGAGTCAATACTGTATACCAGAATTTTTTTGCAAAGTCAAACTTTCATTCTTTGCCGGTAACCCTTCAAAATAATCTCTATATCTAACATGTTGTTTACAATGTACTTATGATCGCTGTGATGATTAACCGCCTTCATCAAGGTGGACGAAAAAGGCGAAAATTTAACTGCAGCGAAAATTTCCCCAGTATACAATAAAAATTTGTTCGACTATTTAAACGATTAACGTGTATCAAACAAACATAGCGAAAACGTCAAGTTTTGCTTTTCCTGTTTAAAGTCATAATTTGCACGAAGTTGACTAGCTTTAAATAGATAATTCGCTACCTCTGCTTTATTTCCCAACAACTATTGTTAAACTTTCAATAAATACTTGTTATTGTTTGATTTTCCGTGACCTTTTTCTTTGGGTCCTTAACCTAGCGTTTAGCAAAATAACTTCATATTAACCGTTATGACTTAGAAAGGAAAATGAATTTTCAAGAAAAATGCAAGAAAATAGAATTAATGTTGTGAGAGGAGTCCGTCACGTGAACACGTATATTGATCGATTGTCTGATAACAACATGAGGTTTCTCTTGGAGCTTCGCTTACTTGTTCATTGAATCAGCTTCCATCAGGGCTTAATCGTTATAAATATAGGCTGAAAATAACTGGTTAAGTGATTATATATGGTGTTTCATTAAATGCTGAAATGACCTTGTTTTTGATTTTTCAATTTTTAGCTTTTACACGTACTTAAATGTTTGTGTATGCGATGATATATTGGTTTTATATCTAATCTGAAAGCAACGTAGGTCATTGTTGTGAACGAAGAATTGGATGAAATTGATATGACGGTATCCTTTAGTTCTCTGAAAACGTTATTAGCTCACCTTGGTCCTTCGGACCAAGGTATGCCATACCGTAGCGTCGGTCGTCCGTCAGTTCGTCAACAATTTCTTTAAACGACTTCTTCTTCGTAACCATTGATTGGAATTTAATTAAAATTTGATTGGAAGCATCTCTAGGTGGTGATGATTCAAAAATATGCAAATGGTGGGGCTGACCCCCCAGGAGACTGAGGGGCGGGGCCAATAGGGAGTAATTTGGCTATATTGCTTTAAGCGACTTCTTCTCTGGAACTAAAAGGTGGATATCAGCCATATTTGACTGGAAGCATCCCTAGTTGGTGGTGATTCAAAATTGTACAAATGGCGGGCTGACCCCCCAGGGGGCTGAGGGTGTGGCCAAAAGGGGTCAAATCGGCTATATTGCTATAATGACTTCTTCTGTAGAACCATGCCATTGATATCGATCATATTTGGTCGGAAGCATTCATGGTAGGTAGGTTTTAAAAATTTTACAAATGGTCGTGCTGACCCCCCGGGCTAAGGGGTGGGGCAAAAGAAAATGTATTTCTTGGAAATGGTTGAGGTCCCCACCGTGTAACCATATATACAATTGCTGAGCATAAAGAGAAGAATGCACATTTGCTTCCAGGATGGTTCTAGGGTCTGGACCCACCTTTGTAGTCATAGTTCCTGGGTCATAACTTTGAAACGGTTGAGATCCGAACTATATATACAAACGCTGGGCATAAAGAGACGAATGAAGTCATGATCTTAGAATAGACCCTTGAGCTGACCGAACCCCTAGGAACCTAGTTTCTTAGTCACAGCTTGGAAACAGTTAAGATCCCCAACCTATAACCATATATACAATTGCTGAGTATAAAGAGATGAATTCGCATATGTTTCCAGCATGGCCTTGGGGTCTGTCTCACCCTTGGAGACTTAACCCCTGGGTCATAACTTTGAAATGGTTAAGATCCCCACCCCAAAACTATATATACAATTGTTGGGCATAAATAGACGAATGTAGTCATGTATTAGAATTGAGTCTAGGGTCTGCCCCACCCTTGCAGACTTAACCTCTAGGTCATAACTTTGAAACAGTTGAGATCCCCACCCAAAAACTTTAAATCCAAATACTGGGCAAAAAGAGACGAATGCAGTTATGATATTATAATTGATCCTGCGGTCTGGCAACAACCCTAGAGACCCAGTTTCTGAGTCACAGCTTGGAAACAGTTGAGTCCCCACCCCATAACCATATATAAAATTGCTAGGCATGAAAAATCTAATACAGATATGCTACAAGGATTAAATTGGCATTGGGGTCTGGCATATCCCCTTGGATCTCATTTGGAGAATATTTTGTCATGATTGCTAAGATATCCAGGTGAGCGATACAGGCCCTCTGGGCCTCTTGTATATTTTCATTTATTTTTATATCTTTTATGATGCATAAGACAGACCAATCGATAAAAATGTTTCTACAGGACAATATTTATGTTTATATTTTTCAAGTGCTATGTAACTATCAAAGTGCCATCCAGCCACCTGTTTCGCCGACCGACATTCCTCATCACACATAGTACTAGTGGTAACTCTGGTGATTGGCGACAACATACCGCCCAACAGGCCATGGCATGGAAAGGGGAGGTAACTACAATAAAATGAAGACAGTATCTATAATCACCATACAACCGTTTATAAAACTGATACAATATAGTTTCCTTAGTTACAAGTTGCTTTACCAGAGATATTTTACTCAATTATAGACAAAACAACAACAAAACCAAGAAAAAAATAACAAAACTATAAATAATCTGCAACACTCAGTTATCATCTTTAACTTAATTTTATAGTTCTAGTTAAACTGCTCCAACGGGTTCCGTCAAATTTTATTGTTTCCGTGTATGGTACATAAATACATGATAATACAGAATCAATTGACTTGTGAGCTTTCCATCTCAGCTTCTACTTTCTTCTTTTCAATGAAAAATAATGCAAACGTCCTTACATTTGAGTCCCTAATACTTCTAAAACATTTATGTATGTTAACACATTTAGATGGTAATGCTTTGTTCCAGGTGTATCTATCCGCTTCCATTCCTTATTGTCCACGGTACATTCTGGCTGTAGCATCCGTCCTTTGGCCTGGTATTGCACCTGCCATCCAACAAAACAATGCTTTTGAACATGTTCTTTCTAAAACCGAAGATGTATTTTATCTCCCGGGGTTGCTCAAGAAAATAGTACTCATGTTTCCGGAGGAGTCTGTCTCAGTGAACACCGTCATCCAGATATTGGTAATGTAACGTTAATTGCATATGATTGCATTAATGAACATTGATAAAACTCATATAGTCATATATATTTTGAAAACGATTTTGCTAGGCTTTATTTACAGTTTTCATAAAAATTGTAATTTTGTTTTGTTATTAAAGCAATCAAATTACTTAAATGAACATTTTGTTAAAGAACTTATTTCTTATCTGACCTTTCAATCATTGCAATAATTAAAATTTGTGTGGACCTTTTTACACCTTAAGATTAAACGTCATCATGAAATCTATGGGAATTAATCACTTGAGAAGAAATTGTGAAAGCGTATTGTATATTTCTAAACATTTTCTTTAGGTTGGTAAGTATGGATTATGAATGATTCTTTTTAGACAACTAATAAGAGTTTCTATGTGACGTTTGCATGACTAGTACGGTATGTACACTGACACCTTCTTCAGACAAATGGCCAGTGAAGCGTGTAAAATGTGTACGAGTTGTCCACAAAATCGATTTCGATTCGGCTACGCTGTAAGCGTATGTACAAAAGTTGTTATATATGCACCGAAATTACTCGATTCAGATACGCATTGTTTAATACGTATTGTATCGTATCTGTAATATTGAAAAGAACATAAACGTATGCAAACCTAAGTGAATAGTTGCTACTCTTTTCGTTAAAAGTTTTGCATCAGCACTGAAATGATCGGTTTTTTAAATCATAAAGAGTAACTGAAAATGCATACTGACATACAAGTTGTGCCGTCGATATACCTCTACTGGCTCTTCCGTATTAGAATGAAAAAACTAATAATACAAGAAGTAAAGATTTAGCTCTTGTTTCCTCCATATTAAGATCCCCCGCTTGCAAGCATGCGGATCAACAAGAGTAATTAATATAAGTTAAAATAACTTGTTTTACAATTCCTGTAAAATATAAATGTTTATACTTAAAGTACTGTTTTTAGGACAGGTTTTGTAACTTCATTTCGCTGTAATCCGTTTCTTTTGACGCATAGTTATTGCTCTTCCACATACGAAAACAACGTTGACTTCAATTGCGATACATTTAGTAAAACCCATTTTGATGAGTGATGTTTTGATGGAAATTATAATCGTGTTGGTGCCAGGATTCCCGAATATCTCCCTGATCAGAATAGCATGTCCATCCGTTAAATAATCCACGGTGTTATATACTGTTCTTGCTGTAGATTAGTTCACTTGCACCCTCAAAACGGAATAAATGTATACAGAGACATTATAAAGGTAATATGAATTGTTTCGCGGGGAATTTTGTATATGAAGTGAGAAAGGTTTATATTAATCTTCACTAAAAGTAATATTTTCCCCATTTTAAAATATTTTTGTAAGAACTGACATCAATTATTTAACATTAGTTGTTGCCGTAAGAGAAACAAAACAAATCCTATTCTATCGTGGGAATTTACTAACGACACTAGAGTTTGCCATCAAGAACGTCAAAATGGGCCTTTGATACATAATTAATACAAGATAAGTATTAGAATATCGGTAAGATGTTCCCCCTATGTCCAGCATTTGTAAGCAACGTACTTCAAAATGTAAAACTACCTCGTGTAACTTCCAAAACATATCGACATTTGTCGGAACTAACTCATTAGCTTATGTCATATATTATAGTGTTTTGAATGCTGTAGTATATATACTACACATGCATTCGTCATTTTTTTATTCAAGTGAACTTATCTGCAAACACCAATTTCTTATGAAAACTCAGATAACGCACTTTTGTTAGGAAGTACGAGTAGTCTACAGCAAACACGTACAGTTGCTGGGTATAAGCTTGTTTCTGTTAAATACGGTCTTCATAACTACGGCTGAAATAAAAATAGAACAAAACATTTGTATCTGTGAATTCGCATCTTTTACAATATCTCCATAAATAGTGAACTAAAAGTTTTCATTGAACCTTGTTATTCTGCATCACCTAAATGTAATAATTCATTGTCAAGAAAAATTGAAAAAAGTTGTCCTAGACATATATTAAAAAAAAAAAATCTGCATAAACAATTTAACTCTCTATTATAGAATGCTTTTTTATCTTGCTAGTTGGAACCGGGAGATAAGTTTCCTATATTACACGTATTGGCCAGGGGTGACGTATCGGGACCAATCACAGTGCAGTATATTGGGAAGAAAGTATTCATTCAACCGCCAGCAGGTGATGAGCGTAAACTCCTATTGAACAATTGTATACGTGACTTGTTATTATTATTGATACATTGTTAATTCCAAACGGTGTTTCGAACTTTTGTATTTTGAATTATCAAAAGTACTTACCAAAGACTCAACATCAAATCTAGTCTCGTTCAACCAGACACTTGTCTGCGCAAGCTACGCCGAACAGAGAGTCTGGTCAAACCCAGTGCTATCGTTTTGTGAAGTCATAATGCGGCTTACCAGAATTCTGATATATTATTCCATTGGTCAAAGGTAGACACACCCTTTTCAACTTTTGAAGTCATAAAATTTGAGTGGTGCGAAATTGTATATTTTGATTGTAAAAAACTTACCTGTACATGCATTCCTGAAGTATCAGTGTTTTCACTATTATCGCGTAAATGTAAGAAAATGCTCTGGAGATTTGATACATGTTCTTACATTTTTCTCGATAATAGTGAATACACGAATACTTCAGGAATGCATGTACAAGCAATAGTTTTCATTAATTTATTTATTCTTGAGACTACATCATATCAAATTGTGTTTACAGATCAGAAACCGGAAATCAAGATTTTGACAAAGCAAGGGGATCTGGACTGGAAAGAAGGAGTCGCCGGTAAAAGAATGTCCGACAAAGACTTAAGCGTCCAGATCGATTGTCTACCGAAAGGGTAAGTTATATAAAATAAAGTAGCTTCTGTAACTGACAGAAAGAATTGTGTATCAAATGTTTTCTTCAGGTTAACATATTGGAATCAGAAAATGCGTTAGAAGGAATATGAGTGTTTTCATGTGTGTTTATGAGACTGTATTGTTTAGGTTCTAAATAAGGTTTCAGTTATAATAAATGTTTTACCATATACATGGATTTGTGCTATTTGTTTTGTCATGAGTGATACTGCTAAGTTTGATAAAAGTACAACTTGAACATTTACATATCAACACGAACGCGGCATATCCGAACGACACACTACTCAACTGCCTATAACACGTAATACAATTGTTCCTTCCAGTTACAAAAAATTTCAGGAATCACGCTTTTATTACATCTGATTATATGTTAATGGAATTATTGAACTGTAATACTTAACTGGTTATAGTGTGTAGTATACGATACAAAAGACAATCATCTGACCATTTCTCTATCTTTTTATTTGTCGACTCTCAAACAATATTCGCTCTTGGGCCTCCGCGCCCTAGGACCAATAAAGAGGTTTCTGGTTGATACGGAGTAGAAAATGGGGTGCTGAACATATTCCATGGATACTCATATTGTACGAACATGTATCATCAGAACTTACCTTTTTGTATGCGTGCGCATTAAATCATGTTTCACTAAACGTGTAAGTTTAATAATATGGATAATTGATTATTTTCATGAGTCATAAACTCGCGATTGAGTGGCATACACATTAATGCGAAAAAAAGAGTCTGCGCAGATTGACATGTAATCTCAATGCATAAATTAACGAGTGACTTTCTAAGCGCATCATGTTCGAATTATTCAGAATATATCAGTCATGAGTCTGCCTTTTTGAGATCGGGTATACTTTTTCAATTGATGAATTAATACTATTATACGTGAATTTTTTTGGGGAGAAAATATGCAACTGTTGAGAGTTTGTTCATTTCAGTGTGAAAACATCAATCGCACCGTATGAATCAAATTACGCACTTGTAAGTATTACTTTGTTATAAAAAAATGCACGGCAAACATAATAGTTCAACAATAAACATATGACCCTTTTTAAATCAACGCATAATGCATATGAAGTTATGTTTTATATTCTTCAAATAAATTGAATACAGGTCCTTTTAATGTCCAAACAAGGATACTTTTATAATTCCATTTTTTGTGACACGTGATTAGTAACTAAGTGAAATACTTAATCTGGAAACCATATAATAATGTCTGCAATAGAGATCTTTGTAAATCACAATAAACAAAGGTTATAAAACTATCAATCTTTTAAACATATATAATATTAACTTTAAGGTTACATAATTTATACTATTTTGTTCGTTTTATCATTGTAGTCGTTCAGAGGGAGAAACCGGCGTCTTGGTAAGAATGACGATTTTGATCTTGGATAATGCTACCAACGATATATATATCTATTATTATACAATCTAAATCCATTATCAGATTCAGTGATATTATCTATATGATATAATCTTTTTAAGTAAAGGTGTATACGTGTTGCAAGCACTTGCATACTATTTTTCTAATTTTAAGCAATACCGATTCTTTAAAATACTATTTTGTAGATCACGAGAAGGAAACGCTTTTGGGGATATACCAGAAGAGGATTCGATCAAAATATTGGCGAATGATTGGACGATCTCTCGGATTTACACAAGATGTTCTGTCAGAAATAGAACGCAGGAAACCAAGATCACTCGAGGAAAAGGCTTGTATCGTCTTAGGACGATGGCTGAAGAGAAATACAGAGAAGAGTCTGTTCCAGATACGGGATACATGGATGTGACTGTGTGTAGGACATTCTCGATCATAGTATCGATCGGTTTAAACTAACCATGCTACTTGTTATATGTCGTACATGCTAGATTGTACATGCTTATAGTATAAATAATATTTTTATATATTTTGATTTTGCCGTTTATAGTGATATATCTGACTAAAGATTAACTGGACCTTTGTAGCTTCATGTAGAATTAAACTATGACATACATACACTAATTGTATATCGTACATTTTCATTGCCATGGAGATTTATGTATATGTGGACAGCTGTATTGGATTGGTGAGCATCCTTTCATATACTCATGCTACATTCATTTCACATCTTTTTTTTATCTTACCAGGAATGAATTGTGTTATTCATCGCGGTGGCATGGTTTGCAGTTCCGAAACACTAATGATGTTTTTTGAAAGGCTATTATCAGTCGGATCAGTAGAATCACCATACTTTTTACCGAAAGCGTCTTGCTAATGAGTTTAAGACATGTTCAATTAATCAATGAATAATAGCACATGACAATTTCTGAGCAACATATATTTAGCTTAAACCAGTTCCGAAGAAGTAGTCTTATCGATGAGTAATGTCTATGCACGATAGACGGTTAAAAGAGGTAAAACTATAGCAAAAAATCAAAGTTAGTGTTGCACAGAGCAAGCGCGGAACCATTATCTGCAATTGTTAGTAAAGTTCAATCATACATGTGGGATATAAGCAAAACGCAGGATCTGCGCATTTTCCAAGAGTCCTTTCGCTACAATATTGTAAAGTTATTGTATTTGTTGCTGCAGCACAACTTTCTGATGCGTATCACTTGTGTGTTACACGTAACTTATATCTAATATTTAACTCATCTAATACAATTTTGTGTAATCATTGCAAGTTCTAGCTGACTACAGTATTTAGTAGATAATTATAAACATAGCTGTGTAGTAGGTGTACGTTAAAGTGCTTCGTCAGAATAAACATATAAAGGTATCATTTTAGTATTTAATCATCAAACCCTTATTTGAATACCCATCCTTGTATGAAGAAGCGAAATCAAAGATTCCGTTATTACAAAATATTTGATCATGACTAGGATACAAAAAAAAGTTTTGTTTTTTAAATGTCTGTGATAAATCTCATTATCATTCATGACATAAAATTGATTTTCTTTTTTCTCGGGCGAACCTAAAAAGAATACGTTCAACGCTGTGCAAGTTGATAGGTATTGAATTTATTTTAATTTTTAAGCATGTTGGAATTTACCCCAGATATTTTTCCAACTTGCCACTTCAAATATGCTATTTTTGGATGAAATTCTTTCAGTTATGAGTTATATCAACATATATTTCAAAAACGTATATCAATTAGTTTTCTGTTGAATCTTTTGCCATTAGACACACAAAAATAGATATGATGTTTCAATACAAACCGACTGTGAGGACATNAATGTTTCAATACAATCCGACTGTGGGGACATGTTTGTAAATGTGACTGTAAAATAAACCATTCGACCCGTTATAACTATTTTTGAGAATGGTTCAGTCGAGTTTATAAAGCATAAATCTACTATATCATAACTGTCAGGTTTGCGTTTGGATCGAATCTGAGGAGACAGACGTTTTGAATTCTATCCTATTAATGTGAGGGTAGAAGTAGAGACTTCCTCATTCTTATTCGTGCATGTAGTCCTTGCAGACATGCTGCCGTGTGGATTAGGACAGAATACTTTTCTAGAAATACTTCCTACTTACTCATATGATTGCAAAATTTGTATTGCTGCATTCATTGTGCATCTGTAAATAAATATTAGTTAAATGTGCGCATTGTAAGTGTCATTTTTTTCTTTTTGCTTTCAAATAAAAAAACTCACATCTTAAGTCATAGCAATGTTAAACCCTTGACATCTAAATGACAGGGTGAATCAAACATACCTTTCATACTTTCTCCCTTTGAGTTTATCGTTTCTGCATCAATCATTGTTACAGCACGTCCAATTGCTTAAGAACGGTTTGGACTTTACGATATGTAGTACGTCGATCGTGTAGATTAGATGTCAATTTGATTTCCGATTGATCAATTGTATCAATTATATCAGGCCATCCTAAAACAATTAGTTTCAAATAGTGAATTAAGGTAATAGGATGTCCTTCTAATACACCTCACTGATGGAAGTTTTCGTTCACTCTTGGTGTTCCACTACTAACATGTTTGTTATACTTTGACATTAAGTGTATTTATGTCTCCTGCAACAAAGTTTGATGAGCCGGGGGATAAACTGGAATCGCATGAGAAACTGTGTGTCCGGTAAGATAATCAGGGAATAATGTCAAATCAAAATAAAACAACGGTTATCCCCATTAGTAACAACTGATTCTTAAAAACCTGGAACAACCCAAAGTGATGTGTTAACTCTGATAACTTTGTTTGAAATGTAAAAACAAGAACATATAGCGATATAACGATAGCTTGTTGTAGTGGGTCATGGTTAGATCATGTTAATCATAAACATGAGTTATCTCCTTCTTCACAATGAAAAATAATACTTCTTTTTTAAAGTCCGCTGATCAAACATTGTGTATGGAAGACCAGGTATGTCATATGTCCAATTGTGTAACCTTCAAACATATTGCCGTAAACGCCATACGCAAAGTTATTATGTTCTATGTCCTGTAGTAACACATAACATTTTACCAGAAGCACGGAACGAAGACAAAACCACCAAAGGAAACTACTATTTAAAGACATTTTTTAGGGGTTTTCTTCAAATTCTGGATCACTCTGCCGAATGTTGGTGACGTCAGGAAATTTCAAAGTGAGCAACATCACGTTGACTTTTCGAGGCCGCGCTATTGCTAGTAACATTATGAATAATCAAGTTCATGACGTGCCAGGGTTAGTCGGGGTCATTGACGTCGTTAACAATCTCCGTCCGGGCTTCATATGCAAATGAGAAAGGAACGGCCACAAAACTTCAAAAAACGCTCAACAACATCATAGTAAAGCCCAGGAACAGTAGATCTAAGGAAAACTTTTCAGAATGCGTGTACAAAATCTGATAGGAAGAAACACAAAATGAAGTGATACTGGACTAGGTAAACACCGGAAACACGCCAGGCCAGAAAGGAAATAGTCATGATCCCAAACATAGAATATAGTAATAGTCAAACTTCGATGTTTCGAACTTTACTTGAAAACCGGAGAAAAAGCGTAGCATCGGGACTTCAACTCACACATATTGAACATCGAACATTGCATTCATATGTACAAAAGACAAAATGTGAATCTTATGTGACGAAACACAAAGCAAAGTATAGGCCTATAGTAGTATAGCGGATTTCATTTAAATAGTATCAAATTAATAATGCCGTTAATAGTCAGTGTCGTATAGCGAATTCCATTTAAATAGTATCAAGTTAAGAATGCCGTTAATAGTCAGTGTCGTATAGCGGATGCAATATAAATAGTATCAAGTTAAGAAAGCCGTTAATAGTCAGTGTCGTATAGCAGATGTCATTTAAATAATCTCAAGTTAAGAATATAGCAGGATATCACCTGATTCAGCTGATAAAGCTTACGGACATCTTACACACCAAATACTCTAATCTGATTGATCGATAAACTCATTTCATTGTTCTATGAAAGAAAAAATGATAAGCCACGCCCCCCGGATTTACTTTCGCTAATTTTAACATTTTAACGGCAAGTACGATATGTACTGTTTGCCCTTCATCAGACAAACGACCGGTAGAGCAGAGGTTAAATGATGTGCAGAATATTGATAATAACTCGTCGATTTGGCCACGCTTCACTTTGTTGTTATATAAATTCCCGATAATCTCCTCGGGTTACAGTAATACCATCGGAGTGAAAGGCACTTTCACACTCTAATGAATGAAGTATTTATTTTATGAAACCGAAACAAAAAAAAGACATAGCTGCTCATTTGCGCTGTCACATACTGCCACGCATTGCTATTGCGTTTGGAAGCAACCTTCCATGAACTCAATGTAAAAGCGAATGTGACATTGTGAAATTAACAGTTTGTCTCGACAAATCAGATTACAGGATTTTAACAAGAGGTTAAATTTCAATAACTCCCTTTATCTTTTTTCTTGATTCAGCCGTATGGGTTATATCTGTGATAACGATAACTGGTTATGCTTTATGAACCAATATGCACTATTTACTTGCCAATATTTGGAAATGTTTAGATATAATTGAATGTATAAATGGCGATGTCTTTCCAAAACATATCTGATAGAAAACTTACGAATTTACTAGGTTGGATGGTGGGGCATATTTTTGTTAGCTTTCTCTGTTTAGTCTACTGATGCAATGTAAATAGAACAAAATACCTGTGAATGGTTTTTTTTATATCTGTCATATATGCATTAATACATTAATACACTCCTAAAGCTAAAGTAAATATGCGTCGTATCATAACACATTGATAACTTTCATATACGTTTTAGTAAGTCGAACGCTCGAGATAGTTAAGTCGAGCGCTCGAGATAGTAAGTCGAGCGTCCGAGATAGTAAGTCGATCGCTCGACTTAAATTAAAAACAATGTGTGTCCTAAACCAGCCACCTTACTTTCTTCATATTTTCATGTCTATCGAATTTAAGATATAATTACTTTTATTTTGTACTATTTGTTTTTTCCTTAAGGTATTTATATATTAATCTATTTTTATTTTTATTTTTATTTTATTATCATTTCAAAACTTCAGTATTCTCTTATAGCTATCGTTATTATTTTCCTATATAAGGGTATTGGTGCGTCCGAGGATTTATTTGGTAAGGGAATAAAAATAACAAAATGACCCCTCTAATTAACCATGGTCTACTGAATTGCCAAGGTTAAAATATGGTTAACCCATCTGTTAAAGAAAAAATAGACCTTTGTGAATAACGATGTCATTGATGTAGATTTTTTAGGCGATATAAAATTTAGACCAAATGGGTGTAGGTGGACCTCACAGGTTCACGCATAGTTTAAGCAATGTTTTGGATTAGGTTTGAAATACTATTCGTCCATCAGCCAAAAGGTTTTTTCGGGATTACTTTGATTTCCTAGGTTATCTATCATTGTCAAACCCTTTGGGTAGACATCTATATAAATAATCATAATACTAATACCTTGAGGTTCTGATAAACCGCTTTATCACAACCTAGTTTGTAGGTCGTCTCAAAGCGGTTCACAAATTATTATCCGTGGTTATAGGGCCTTTGCAACCAGCCAATAATTTTCTCAACTCCATGGGGAGCATATAGCCGGTGCTGCCATTTCGGTGCTCACAGCTAGCATTTTACAATTCTAGCACTAAAGTAAAGTGATTTTCTTAAAGATACAACACAGTGCCGTACCGTGACTCGAACCCGCAACCCTTCGGTCACGAGCCCGGCGTCCTACCACTAGACTACCGTGCCTCTACATACCAACAGAGTTATATCAGCCTCTGTTCTAAAACAACTAGCAAAACAAACAATGGATAATTTCATCAATATCTGCCCTGTAACAAAAGATTACAAAAAAACTCATATGAAAACAAAATTCAAAACAAAATATCCGAGTATCTATAACTGAAAAATATGATATTCCTCATCAATAGTTGATAAAATGGTCGCATGTCAAGTCGGATTCACGTCTGAAATTTGAAACACGTGGTGGCTCAGTATTGCGAGTTGGGCGGTTCACATTTGAAAAGTTGTATTATCTGTGGACCATCAGTCATACAGAGATTTATGTGTTTGATATCAATTTCCAACACTTTTGTTAAAGTTCGTGTATTTTTAATTTATACACCAAAATACACATTATTTATGTATGTACCAGGAAGAAAGCGATTACCTGAACAGGATGTGCCTACTAACGGATCATGTTCACTTGTGCCACGTCAAACGGCAATTATCTAAATCTAGTCTGTTATGCACCATATATTTGTATCATATTTTTATCGCTGTTATTAATGCTTTTGTCAGTCATCATTTCACTATTTTTTGAACCTTCATTAAGTTTCTTTGTACACTAATCGTGCATGGCGATCACTACAGTGTGTCATGTGTTGGACGACAGCTAAATCAGATAAATTATGAAAGCATTACCCCCAAAGGACTTACTGAAAATGCATTTATCCAATATCAAATCTATGTCTGACAATTAAAACGCGAGCTTCAAACCACCAATCCAATAGGTAAACATTCGCTAGGAAGTAAAGGGTTATGCACAAAATCAAGGTGTCCGCCCGTCCGGCTATATGTATGGCGAATGAAACCTGATCGATGCACCATTCCTTATTTTCCCAATCATATATATATTCTCAGTTTACTTTTTATTGGCCCTAATGGCGTTTTTGTGTTGATGGGACGTTCACAATCCAATTACTTACTAACATCCCAATCGTATAAGAGAGCGTATGTGATAAAGCGTGTGTA